ATTTGGTTTTGAGACCAACATAAAAAATGAAGCTGTTACACAAGTAGTATGGTTTAGTTTTTGGAAATACTGTTTTTATTCAACATAAATTTTGTTTAAAAGTAATTTTTCTTGCATTTTGTATTTCATGTAATGTATATAGTACTCGATGTTATATAATAACGCATATGCTATTTGTATTTTTTGCTAAACTTGTAGTTATTCATCATCTTTGAACAATTTCGATTTACTTGGTAACGGTTAGAAAATGAGCTTGAAGAATACACTATGAACATTGGCGAACATGCAAATACAAGGTTCAAATTTGCTTTAGTTCCTGAATGCTAGTCGTGTGTATGAACATGGTGTTGTTTTAGAGCCTGATATGATGGTGCAGCGACTGTTGGAAACGGTGGCAGGTTCGGTAGTCCCCTAAATTGCAAATCTAATTTCCATTTTTTTATATTTTCTTGTATGTAGTTATATAAGGGTGTGGAAGCTGCACTTGATAGTCAACAATTTAGCTACTTGGCCCACTTGGCAATACTTAATCGTCACGGGAGTATGTGTTACGGAGTTTACGTGTCGCGTGCTAAGCAGTGTGTATTCTTTTCTTCGGTATCTCAACAACAGACATTGAAGATTTTCGGGGATTTTGTTGAGCCAGTGGCAGCTGCACACGCGTCCGTTGCCATCGAAGCAGCGAAATCGGTGGTTGATGACCATTTCGGTGTTTCGCTGGGCAACAATGCTGAGTGGTAGCATGCGCAACCTGCCAGCGGCTCTTTTCAAAGGACGATCCACTGCTGATGTTCCTCCTAAACGCTGCACTTGATAATTACAAACATAAACGACATAGACATATAAAAATGTAACAAAGACTACAGAAAATAATGTACAAAAAACGAGGGCAAAACTGAAATAAAAATTCTTGGACAGGAATGTATGCAAAATTTTAAAGTGTATGTATACAATATAAGCACATGTCTGGATCTACTGCTCAGAGATATGTGCATATGTAAAAAAACGAACAAACTTTAACAAACTCGTATTATGCTTTCATATGCTCCTAGGATCGTGTCCTCTAAACTATATAGTAAGTATTGGCATACAGACATATATATCGGAGAATATATATGCGTGTTTAGTGTGGTTGCTATTAAAACTGTTGCGTACACAAGGACCGAAATGTTCTTGAGTGTTTCAGTTTCCCTATACAAAGACAATGGCAAAAGTATTTTGAAATCGAATATAATCCTAGCTGTTGCCTGACTGCCAAAGGATGAGTTTACTTGGGTTCAATATTTAGTGGGTGGAGCTTCTGTTGTAATAACTTGAACTGTTCCTGCTGGTGTTGATGCTGGTTCTCTTTCTGGTTAGTTATGCTTTGTTTTTCACTTATAGAATTTAATCGGTGAATTTGCGATTGACGTTGCGGCCGAAAAGGGCGTTACGAATCTCGGGCACCAGCTGCTGCGAAATGAGCTCTAATCTGGACTCCAGCGTATTGGGCACCTGAAGTGGTTTACAAGATCAGTTGGGATTGCTCTTTTTCGATCGAATGGGCAGTACTTACCTTAATGCGTCCGTTAAGGGCCAGCAGCTCAACACCACCGCAGGTATCAGCAGAGAGGAAGTCTTTCTCGTCGATGAGCAGATCGACGTTCTGATGTATTGCTGCCTTGTATTGCTCCACAGCGGTAGGCAGAACGTCACGTACCAGAGGCACGTCAACCTCGCGGCAGCGCAGGATTACCTTTGGCTCCATGATCTGAAACAGGCCCTGAACGATAAGCTTGGTCAGCACAGTCTGGTACTCGGACTGCTTCTGTGTGACCTCGCCGAGACGCTTGCGGGCATCATCCAGCACGCTGCTCACATGGTCCTCGCGCACTTTCAGCACCTACAGGTGATTACGAATGAGTTATGGGTTTTTAAAAGCTTCGGACCACCAACTGGAAGAAACCCACCTTCAGACGAGCCTGGTTGAGCATGTTGGAGGACTGGATCTTCTTCTGCAGCTCCACTTGCTTCTCTTTCTTCTCGTAGTACTCCATGATCTTGAGACGCTGCTGCTGGACGAGGCGTCCCTTCTCGATGTTGAACTCCTCCTCGGCCTTGGCGTCAATCTCCTCGGCTTTCTCATTGGCCTCCTGCTCAATGAACGCCATCATGTGTTTGATCTGAAACAGTCGTCCTATTTAGTAGTTGCCGGTGTGTCACATGATAACTGCACTTAGTGGACGAGGGAGATGTCCAAGACCCTAGCCTCTATTTATTTTCGTTAAAGTTTTGATAACGTAAGGGGTCCGCTGGTCGTGTGACAGAGAGTGCGAGTGTGGGGTGCAGGGCTAGTCGTCTCGCTCCAACACATTGCCCCGTTGCGGGGGCCGTGTCACATGACCAGCACGAATTTTTACTCACTTTTTACGCAAAGTATTTGGACAAATAAATTTGTCTCTTTATTAGCCAACAAATCTTGAAATCTAGAACTCTTGCAATACCTAAATGACCTGGCCCAGTTGGAAGGATGTCAGTCTAACTGGACTAGTGGTGAAAAGTTCACATGACCTGGAAGATCCCATGACTTCGCCATCTTTATGGCAGAAGCAAACTTTGGAGAGGTCCCTGGTTTTGGTTGTTTCCCTACGACCTTGATCGCCTTCCCGTTCCCAATTGCCAATTACCTGCTTTTGTACATCAGCATCGCTCAGTGCCATTTTGACTGCTTATTTTCACTGCAGAAACCGAAAAGAAATTCAAGTGTTTCGAAGAAGCCCACGTACAACCGTGCCTGAAATAATTGAAAATTTAATTAAACTAATAAATTCACATCCGAGCTGAGTTGAAAGCCGTGGCTGAACACGAGGAGAATGGAAAACGATAAGTTACTTTTGCCTTCTGCCCAACGTCTGAAAATTTTCACTGCAAATCGATCATATGATTTCACGAAAGTGTGACCCTGCGATTGCATGGGTAAAAATGTGTATTTGTTGGAGCTGTCAGACCACCGATAGACGATGTAATTTTTATCGCACTTATAACAAATGGGGTATTCACATTAATCGATTACACAGATACCAACTAAAATTATTTTATGTTCATATAGTTTTTATTAAAAAAAATAATGCAAAATTCCTTGAAATCTTTAAATATACATTTTATGATATATTATGTTTTATTATATTCCTTTTGTCAGCCAAGATAAACATCTGCAGTCACGATTCTGTTATAAATCGACAGTGTGATTGGAGTATTACAACCCGACTAAAAATATGATGTGACAATTTTCCCATCCCTGTTTTGTGGTGAGTGTGTTTTAATATAGACACGCTAACGAAAAATTTTGTTTTCTTCGGGATTTCACTAAGCAAGAGACCTCCACTTTATATTTTCGTGCTTTTAATCCTCGCATTCAAGTGCCATGGAGACGCTCCTGGAGCAGCAGCGGCGCTTACACGAGGAGCGCGAGCGCCTGGTCAAACTGATGGTGGACGAGCATGCAACCAAAAAGCCGGGCGAAAAGGAGCGCATCCATTCGGAGCACCGGCTTAAGTACCTCATGGAACTTCACCACAATGCCACGTCCCAGCTGCGCGATCTCTACGAGGACAAGGACAATGAGCGAAAGTCGGAGATCGCCGCTCTCTCGGGGCCCAACGAGTTCAACGAGTTCTACGCCCGCCTCAAGCAAATCAAGCAGTTCTACAAGTCCCATCCGGCTGAGGTCAGCGTGCCGCTGTCCGTTGAGTTCGACGAGATGATTCGGGTGTACAACAATCCAGACGACATGAGTGCCCTGGTGGAGTTCACAGACGAGGAGGGCGGCGGTCGGTATCTGGACCTCAACGAGTGCTACGAGCTGTACCTCAACTTGCGGGCGGTGGAGAAGCTGGACTATATCACTTACCTTATGTCCTTTGACCACGTCTTCGATATTCCGCGTGAGCGCAAAAATCGCGAGTACCGCTTGTATATAGAGACCCTTAACGACTACCTGCACCACTTCATTCTGCGAATCCAGCCCCTGCTCGACTTGGAGGGTGAGTTGCTAAAGGTGGAGCTCGACTTTCAGCGCCAGTGGCTGATGGGCACGTTTCCGGGTTTTTCGATTAAGGAAACTGAGTCAGCGCTAGCCAACACCGGCGCCCACCTTGATCTATCCGCCTTCTCTAGCTGGGAGGAGCTGGCCTCGCTAGGATTGGATCGTCTTAAGTCGGCGTTGGTGGCCCTAGGTCTTAAGTGCGGTGGCACCCTGGAGGAGCGAGCACAGCGTTTGTTCTCTACCAAAGGTAAAAGCACTTTGGATCCCGCACTGATGGCCAAGAAGCCCAGCGCAAAAACTGCTAGTGCGCAGTCACGGGAACATGAACGCCAAAAGGAGATTGCCCAGCTAGAGGCGCTGCTGTATAAATACGCGGAGCTGTTGTCTGAGCAAAGAGCGGCTACCAAGGAGAATGTGCAAAGAAAGCAGGCTCGGACCGGTGGCGAGCGGGACGACAGCGACGTCGAGGCCAGTGAGTCGGACAACGAAGATGATCTCGACGCGGACGACGTTCCGTACAATCCCAAGAACCTGCCGCTCGGATGGGACGGTAAACCTATCCCCTACTGGTTGTATAAACTGCACGGCCTGAATATAAGCTATAATTGCGAGATATGCGGAAACTTCACCTACAAGGGGCCCAAGGCTTTCCAACGACACTTCGCCGAGTGGCGTCATGCGCACGGCATGCGATGCCTCGGCATTCCGAACACCGCCCATTTCGCCAATGTCACCCAGATCGAGGACGCAATCACGTTGTGGGAGAAACTGAAGTCCCAAAAGCAGAGCGAGCGCTGGATAGCCGATCAGGAGGAAGAGTTCGAGGACTCGCTGGGAAACGTTGTCAACCGAAAGACGTTCGAGGATCTAAAACGCCAGGGACTACTTTAGAGGACATATGTATAGTCGCTTAAGTACCGGTCAATTCTATGTGCCGCTTCTAAAACTTCAACCATCTTTATAATTCAAAACGGAATGACACTAAAATTGGTTTTATTTAAGGAATCTAATGTTAAGCTATAAAACCATTGGCCGCTGTTTTTATTCATTAAAAGAAGAACATGGATCATCCTACGATTCATTTTTAGAATCCTTTGTAGTTTAAAATAAAACCAACGTCGTGTAGTTTTGGATTAAATGGATAACAAGTTTACGAATATAACATTAGTTAATGATGAGAACCTCCATTTTCAGTCCCAAATCCTCCACCCTAGACAAAGGTAGAAGGGAAATGGTGCGCGGTGGTATCTGGGATTCTGTTTTTTGGGCCTGAAGCCACGGAAAGTCCTGGTACTGGGAATCATGGCTGAAGCGTATGAATGCCTCCTGGGTAGTGTGCAGATGAACCTTAAAGTGGCCACTTCCGGCGGGGAGTTTAGGAACCTGGTTCATCCGCTGAGAGATTTGGTAAATGACAGAGCGCATGTTCTGCTCGAACACCATTAAAAGATCCTCAGCCGGTAGTCCACACTCCTGGGCTTCTAGTTTTATTTTATAGCGCTCCAACTTCTCATTCTCCTTCTGATTCACTATTAGCTCTAGGCACTGCAGCTCTCGGCGGCGGAGAAGTTCTTGAGCGGATTTTAGAACGCCGGTCAGGTAGTTATTAAGAGGTGGAAATATGGACACAAAAATGGGCGAGTTATACATCCGCTTTAATTTAAAAATATGCGAGGGGTATATACCCCGCACGTATAGAATGTGATTCACTAGCACCTCCATCGCCTCTACGATGATGCTTGTTTCAATCTCCGCCTGCATTTCGAAAGATTATGATTTTTTTATATTTTTTTTTTAGATTTAAACTCTGTTTATTCTGTTTATTAGTGGTGGTACACAAAAAAAAAGCAATGAATCGATATGGCATAGATTGCAAGCTCAAAGGAATAACTTCAAACCGACAGGGCGAATCCTTTTAAAATTTCTTTTGTTTTTTTTGTAAAGCATTTTCGTTATTAAAACAGTTCGTAGCAGGCAATCCGAATGCTATCAACAAGAGAGTAGCGGACATATTTAATAATTTATTATGTCATGCCTGCTGTACAGAATTTTCATAAGTTTCATAAGCACAAGTTTCAGTTTAAATGAAAATAAAGAGTGCATAATTGGTAGTACACAAGCCAGAAGTACATATTTTTAGTTTATCTGCCAACCGATCACATATTCGTATTGAAACCGAATATTCCGTACTCTTTCAATTTAAACGCCTATCGCCGTCTAAATGGAATCGGCTGTGGCACCAAAATATCGAAAGCGCTGCTGACGTTCTCCCACCTCTAGCTGAAAAAATGGCTGAAATCCAAGTGTGTGTGTGAAGGAAACTGTTTGAGAAAAATTTGCGTTTGCTACCAATTCGGAAATAACGGCGTTGAGGCAACAAAAGAAGGGAGCATTACAAACTGGCTACCGCACCTACCCTTTACACGATTCTCCACGGAAGAGGCTAAGCGGCAAACGCCAGGCGCAGTGCCCTAAAATTGGCAATTGATGCCACTCACGGAAATCGGCACCCTGCACTCTTCGGTGATCGGCCTGCAATTACAGACAAGCCAGGCCGAAAGGCGACTTCACGGACTCCGGCTGGGAATCGTATCGAAAATGTGGCCAAGAGCAGAGATTACCAAGAGCGGATAACTAGATGCAAATCGGGCGAAAAGCACTCCCTATATGTAATATATATGTAATACACACGCGCCTGCCCCGCCGACAGTGTACACACATCAATATATCGGCTTGATACACACATACGCAGTTGCATCAGCATGTCCGACCGTGATTCCGAATCCGACGCTAGTCCGCCCCTGAGTCAGCAGCGCGGGCAGCGGAACCGGCGCATCATCATGCGGATCGAGTTCAAGGACTCGGAGGACACGGCGTCGGATCACGACCTGGATGAGCGTCCCTCCTGCTCCACGGCGACGCGCCTGAGACCAAGCTCCCGCCGACAGGAGGTGGATTCGGATTCGGCCTCCGTGCCCCGGAAGTCTACGCGGAAGCTGCGCAGTCGCTACGGACCGCGGAGCGATTGCTCATCCAGCGGTAGCGAGGTAAGGCATTGAAGTTTCAGTTACTTCCCACCGGCATTACTTTTTAATGCACTACTTTCTTGATTCCAGATCGATCAACGGCCAACGCTGTGGAGCAAACGAAAGAAGGTAGAGTCCTCCGATGAGGAGGAAACCGAGCGGACGGCCAGCACGGTTGGAAGACTCCACCCCGCGCCCGCTGATCCCGATAACGGCTTCAGTTCCGACAGCAGCAGTAACGATCTGCTGGAGAAGTGCCCCATTTGCTTGCTTACTTTCCGGCAGCAAGAGATTGGCACGCCAGCAACCTGCGAGCACATATTCTGCGCGGCCTGCATCGATGCCTGGTCCCGAAATGTCCAAACTTGTCCCATTGACCGCATTTCATTTGACCGGATTGTAGTGCGGGACTCGTACGCTAGTCGCCAGGTGGTGAGAGAAGTTAGGGTGGACTTAAGTAAGTCCAAGACCGAATTGAACGTGGATGACGAGGCTGATGCCGCTGTGGTTTCCGAAGAGGAAGTCACCAACTGCGAAATTTGCGAAAGTCCGGAGCGGGAGGATGTGATGTTGCTGTGCGACAGCTGCAATCAGGGATACCACATGGACTGCCTAGACCCGCCGCTGCACGAGATCCCTGCTGGCTCGTGGTATTGCGACAACTGTATTGACTCCGACGGCGAGGATGAGAATGAGGAGCTGGAGCTGGCTGACGACTTAAGTCAGCTATACGAGGATATTCGAGGAATGGGCTTACCGGAGACTCGTCTCAGAGTACGTGAGGTGCATGAACCGCCAAGAATCCTGCGCACCCGTCAAAACGAACGTATTAGGGCTGCTGTACTGCGACGCACTCGCTCAGGCGCTACGTCGGCTGAAGCTTCCACACTGACCCGAACTCGTACCCGCACCACCACCACTACCACAACCACTACTACAACTACTCGGCGCACCACCACAAGCACGAATAAAAGGCCTGTTCAGCGTCGGCGTCGAAGAAGGACCCGCCATCGCACCTACGTGGTCGAGTACGATCTGAACAACTTTGACGAGAAGTTTGCGCTTAAAACGAGCAAGAAAGTGATAAGACGGCGTAGGCGCCGGCGTCGTCGTGGTGTTGCAACTGCCTCTCAGGGGCCTGGTCGACGTCTTACAGCCAGCAAGCGACTTGCAGAGCAGATGGGAGTAAAATCAGAAGGAGTTCAACGTTCTCATCTCAGTGGTGGAACAGCCTCCAGTTTCTCTCTCTTTGGAAATGCGAACGACTTGGAGTATTTCTCCGATAGTGAGCCAGACGTAGGCGGCAGTATCAGTTCTGCTGGACTCGGATCGACTGCAGTGCAAACCTCAGTACGCATTGCTAGTGTTGGAGCACCGCGAATCCGAAAAGCCTTGCTGCAAGGCAAGGCACGCATAGCAGCGCCGCCCTCAGCTCCGACTTCAGCTACCGCTGGAGACATACTGTCTACCATTTTGGATCTGCAGGATCGCTGGCATGATGCTTCGCGTAACCTAGGCGAAGTGCATATTAGGGCGGATGGTACCCTCAATCTTCCCCAGAGACCTGCACTTACAACGACAGCAGCACCTGCGCCGAAGACCGGTACTTCTAAGGCCGAGGAGCATCTAACCCAGGCACCGCTTTACCAGCGGGGAGGAGGAGGACCTAACTATAACAGAGGCGGAGGGGCAGGCTCAAGTGATAGCTACAACAATCGTTATAGCGGCAATAACAGTTACCGCGGAGGTGGTGGAGGCAGCGGCGGAGGATCCAGCGGTAGCGGTGGCGTGCCCAGCAGTAGCGGCGGAGCTTCCTCGCGACAATTGACCGGTGGTGGAGACGGTCAAGGAGGCGGTGGCTTTAGCAACCAGAACTTTAGCAGCCCCAGCCCCAACAACAATAGCAACACAAATGTGTCGAGCTTTACTCCGTTTCACCTACGATTCAACACGCCCGCCCGCCAGCCGCAACCACGCCAGCAAAACGTGCTCCCAGCCAACCAACCCACTCCCCCTTTCCGTGGAAGTGCACCGCATCCAGCCCCAGTGGCGTCTTCATCAAACAGTTTTTCAGTACAGACTCCAATGTTCGCACCTCCCGTAAATCATCATGCCGCACCTGTGATGGGTATGCCAGTAGTTCTCTCCATACCACCTCCGCCTATGCCACCTGCCAGCCTCCCTTGGAACAGTCCTCTCTTTAAGATGAATCCACTTCAGCAGGAACCGATGAAACCCAATGATCGTAACAAAAATGACGATGCAGACAACTGCCCGAACTTCTCAATTTACTCGCAGGAGTCGCAGGCGGTTGCTAATGCCTCGGCGATGCCGACAGGCGTTTCACAAGGGCCCGTGGATTCTTATGATAAGGTATGATATCTTTGTGACCACTGTGCTTAAACTAGAATCTAGAGATATTTAAAATGAATGATAGGATTTAAATCTGTTAATTTGAGTAGTATTTAGTATAAGGAACTGAAGCTAAAAAGTTTAAAAACAACTCTTAGCAAGCTTTGGTGACGAAAGAGCAAAGAAAAGCAAATCGTACGTATATAATCTCTTAAGCGACCGGAAATTAGCATCGGATTTAAGCAAATTAGTTGAAAATAGCTCTTTCTCCTGAACCATATTGTTTTCTCTCTTGGCCCGCAATCTATTCAGTTTCTGCACTTTCTTTCCATTATTTTATAACTTATAATGGTACGGCAGTCACAATATTTGGATATTTTTGTGTATCTCGTGGTGCGCATTTGTACCTTCTGCCGTCCCCAGTAATACAATTTATCCGGAATAACAGGAAATAATTACTTTGTCCTTAAATGCATTTTAAACGGTGTTAATATTGTTAGGGATTCGTCTTGCAGATTGTAGTATATTTAACTCGTCAGTTTTAAAAATCGGATTTCCATTACAAATGAAACGGCTTGAAATGGGTAGTAATCATTAACGTCAATGCCAGTAGTTAAATTAAAATTTATGCAAAAAATCACCTTGAGCCATCTATATGTGCAGGTATGTTATTTTAAAGTTCTATAGGTAAGTATAGGTATTCTAGTCATTCCCAAGACAAAATGACATGTTTAAAACTTTAATTTTCAGTTTTTAAAACAATATTTAATGTTATTAAAAGCAAAGCAAGCAATATAATTAGATAAGTAAGTCAAGTTGTATAGTTTTTTCAGCCCATTTCTTATTCGACGCTTAATAATCATGATGTTTTGTTCTTTTTTCACCTTAATTTAATCCTTTCCACTGGGGCAGGATGATGACGACATGAATGAAGATTTAGTACAATTAGATGATGATGAGGATACGGATATACCATTGCCTTTGGGACCGGAGCCCGAACCCGTTCCCGAAAAAAATCATGATGACCTCTACGAGCCAGAGAATCCAACCGAAGAACCTGATGAATCCGAAGTGGTTGAAGAGTCCTGTGACGGAGATCCAAAGGAAAAGTCAGAGTCCTCCGATTACGAGCCTAGCAACTCCATCGTGGGAGCTGCACCCGCAGAGGAACACGATGCTGAGGAAGCTAAGACGCGCTGCACTCCCAGCCCACCGGTCAAAGAGGATCGCGTTGCTGATCGAGACCGGGGTAAGGGAGTACTAGAGCTTTACGATGACAGCGACTGGGAGGAATTAGACATTGACAAACCGAAAGAGTTCGAAAAGGCGCTGGTTACGGAGCCACAAGCCAGCACTAAGACAGCTCCGTCTAAGAGACAGGCTTTAAGAAAGGATGCAAGTTCAGAGAAAGATGCCAACGCAGGTGGTAGTGAGCACGAGCAGGATCGCTCTTACACGCCGTGCCTGGACGAAAAAAACTTGGCGGATGAGGAAGAGGGTGGGGCAACGCAAAAAACGAATGCTAACACGAGTCCCAAGACTCGATCCTCTAAAGTTTCCGACGACGAGGATGAGCCAGAGAAAGCTATCGGTACGGATATTCAGTCAGATGATGAATTAAACAACGAGAACGAGCCAAAGCGACGCAGTCGAAGCCGTGGCACGAGCAACAATGAAAAATCCAAGTCAAAGTCGCGTTCAAAACGCAACAAGGGCGAAACTTTCAAAAAGGTCGGAAAGCGACAAAAGGATCGCAACTACCGCGGTGACAAGCCGGAGCCAGATCGGAGCCCTCGTTCAGGCTCCAGAAGTCTCACTCCAAAGATCCGTTCCAAGAGCCCGGAAGCAAGCAAAAGCATGAGTCGCAGTAGGTGTGGAAGCGGGAGCAGAAGTAAGAGCAAGAGTAAAAGCAGAAGCAGGAGCAGAAGCCGCTCCCCAAGTAGGAACAGAAACAGGCGTCGACGTAACAGCCGCTCCAAGTCCTACTCCCGCTCTCATTCTAGGTCTCGATCGCGTTCCCACTCGCATAGCCGCCAGAGGTTTTCATTTAGAGGAAGGGACCATCAACGCGGCTTTATCCGTGGCCGTGGAGGTCTGCGTTTTAACTACCGCAACCAACAGTTTCACAACAGGCCGTTCCAGCATTACGGTCACAATTACCACCCGAACCAAAACTACCACCATCAGCACAATCAGCACCAACCTTATTTTCACTACAATCAGCATGGCCAGCATCAGCAGTTCTTTCAACGTCCCAAACGAAGAGAACTACCGCGCTATGATGTTCGAAATGTGGTGGGAGCATCGAGACATCAACAACAGACTAAGGATCGCTATGGACGAGACGCAATGCGGTCGAACAGAAGTCGTTCGGGAAGGCGGAACTCACGCAGTTTCTCTCGAAGCGTTTCACGTGACTCAAGGGGCTCCTTGCGCTCCCGATCTGGTTCGCCCAAACGACGCAGCTTTAGCATCTCGCCGACGCCACCGCCAGGAACTTCACCTTCTAATTATAAACAAGGCGGTGCCCGTCGAACCTCTCCGAGCAGACGCTATGCCGCCCGCTCGCCTTCATTAGTACCGTCTCCCCCCAATGAAAGGGTGGATAGTCCAGTTCAATCTGCTCACTCCAGAGGATCGCGCTCGCACACTCCCAACCGCATCAACGGAGATGGCAATAGATCACCCCTATATATGGGCTCGCCGCGCTACACGCCACGGTTAAGTCGTAGCAGGAGCAGAAGTCGTTCCAAGAGTCCCAAGGATCTGCCCAAGAAGAAAAAAAAGAAGTCCGATAAAAAGAAAAAGAAGAAGAGGACGGGCAGCGGCAGTCCGACGACAGCAGCGCGGATGCGCCGTATCTCGCGACAACGCGATCCCTTCGAGGATGCGGACGACTTTCTTGCTCCCCAGAGAAAACGAAAGAAGGGAGGAATGCCTACTGGTCAGTGGTCCCCATCGCCATCACCCGGTGGCTGTGATTTCCTGCACGACAGCGGCCTCCAGGACAAAAACGCGTCATGGACGCCCCCGCTAGGATCGCCCAAAGGACCAGGCGGCCATTATAATAATGATGGCGCGCTGACGCCCAAAAAAACGAAGCGCAAACGAGACAAGAGTAAAAAAAAGAAGAAACAGCATCAGCTGGAGAAGCCACGCAAAGAAAAGAAACGTAAACGTCGTACCCAGACACCAGAACCTCTGCCATCAAAGGAGGTATTTGCTTCAGGCAACAATATTCTGGTGAGCGTAAGCTTCAACAAAGAGTCGACCACAAACAATGCGAGCGCTGCGTTGGGTTCTCAGCAGCAGTCTGTGGCTACAATCCCACCCGGCAGGGAGGATCTGTTGAGCAATCGTATGGCCTCCATATCCTCCAATAGCAACGTAGTCAGTGCTGTGGGTGCAATAAAGAAAACGAAGCGCAAGCGTAAAAAGTTGGAGGCCAAGCCTGTGGCTATCATCGATCTGGAACGCTCGCCCTTCCAAGTTCATCAGGAGCCGGCAGATGTCATTGTGCTTACCGACAGCGAGGATGCGACAGACCCACTCTTATCGAGAAGGGAAAGGGAGCGGGACAGGGATCACGATCTTATGAGGGAAAACGGGCAAAGGGAAAAGACTCCCCAGGTGGGTCCCTTGGACGCAATCATGGAGACCTCGTATGAGAACATGACGCAGTCAACTGGTCCTAAGACACCACCTGAACCGCCTCTCGTCAAGTTTAGCCTGCCTACCAAAAAGATGCAGCACAAGGTGCGCAACAACCCTCTTCACGAAGACGTCGATGATATTAACTCTGCAGACGAGCTGGAGGCGTCGTGTTCTATGGCGCCTGAGGAGCAGACGCCCCAGCACGGCCACGTCAAGCACGATGGCGGTCAGAAGATTGGTCCAAATACTCCGCCAGAGTCGGGACCGTGCTCGCCAGATGCCTATGATCCCTTCGAGCCCACCAAGTCGCCCTCCCTTTCGCCACGTTCGCGGACACCAACTCCAGGGCAAAACCTAGAGCAGCAAACAGCTAGCATGCCGGCGAGTGGCTCAATCGGATCGTCATCTGGGGACAAGGGAGAGAGTGATGGCGCCCATGTTACCGTGTCCAATGCGAGCACGAGCACCCAGACCCAGACGAACGCCCTTAATCCGGTTGATCTGGTGATGGCGCTGATGAACAAACCGAACCAGAGCGGGTCCATTCAGCAGGAGAGTGAGGTGAGCTCCGCCCAGTACATCAGCAGCAGTTCCGTCAGCCTGTCCTTGGGCGTTGGGTCTAGCACGGGCGGCAGCGTAGGAGGTGCCTGCGGAGGCGATAACCATGATAAGACAGCCGATGGGAAGACCATAACCGTTCTCTCTAACGTGCTGCTCACGAGCAGCAGCGTGGTGTCCAGCTCGCAGCACATACCATCTATTTCTAGTCCGACGCCTCCTTCGAAGAAACTCACTCCGTTGCCCAAGGCCGGAGGAAGTGTGGCCAGCAGCAGCAGTGGCGTCGGCAACATGCCCACTACGAGTAGCGGAATAGGTGGCCCACGAAACGGAAGTGGCCTCGGAAATGCCGGAGGATCCAACAACGCTTTAGATGACTCCTTCAACATGGATATCGAGAGTCCTTACTCGCCGGGTTCGGCGGACTACGAAGATCTGTTCGAGCCACCCATTCCAATGGAAGGCAGCAGCAGGCGAGTGAAGAGTGGAGCAACAACCGGAGGCAAGGTAGAAATTTTCGATAACCTGTTTGGAAGCAGTTCACCCGTAGGCAACATCCGGACGTCTTCCCGGTACAACACAGCGGTGGGCAAAAAGTCGCATCGCAGCAAGGCCGACAAAAAATCGAAAGTAAAAGGTGGGTGTATAACCGAGTTAAATATATCTTACGTTAAGTCGGATTGGCCAAATATTGATAACGTATTTTTCTTCTATGATTAGGTTCAAGAAATCCTGATTTATATGACGACCTGCCGAACTCGGCAACAGATCTACAAAATAAGGATAGAGTAAGTCCAATTTAGAGAGACCTATAAGAACAGCAAATAAAATTAATTATTTATTTGTTTGGCAGCTTTTACGGAAGCTAAATCGGCAGGAACGCGTCGTTGAGGAGGTAAAACTGGTGTTGAAGCCTTACTTTAACAAGAAAGCGATTACTAAGGATGACTACAAGGACATTATGCGGAGAGCCGTGCCAAAGGTTAGTACCATAATTTGATCATTATATTTGTATATAATAATATAAAATATAATTGTAGATCTGCCACAGTCGGTCTGGTGAAATCAATCCGCACAAGATTAAAAACCTGATTGACGCCTATGTGAAGAAATTCAGGGCAAAGCACAAGAAGTTGAGTCTCCTTAACACAGGACAAGTTAGTAGTGCGGTTAAGTGTGCCGCCTATTTAAAAAAACTGTAAGCGAGCAAGCGATCGCATAGTATCTGACAGTAAGTCCAAGCTCCCAGTCGCTTGATTCAATAAATTAAACATGTTATCTGCTTTCAGCGTTGCATAGAAAAATAAATCGAATTTGCGGTCGCATGCATTCCTACAATCTACCATCAAATGAAACCAACAATATTTACCAGAAAAATAAAAGAAAAACTCATAAATTGTCATTAACTATTGGAATTAGTTATTAAGTCAATTTTAGGTCACTTTACGAATGATTTTAGAACGTAAGCAAAGTGCAGAAGTGGATATTTTTAAATGATAAGCAAAAGCAGGTTTACCACCCAATTTTCGGTTACCCAAAGCACTACAAAACTCTTTATTTATATCAAGACTAGTTCATTAGATTGTTAATTTGTACGACACCTGTAATGATAATATTATAATTGTTTTGCATGAGCACTAACCAATTGTAAGTAGTTAAGTGATGGCAAAACCAATTTGTATTTTACCTCTGATAAATTAAACACTTAAATTAAAACATCTGAAAGAAATGATTGATAGCCTCAACAAGTTGGCTTGCATTGAATAAGGAGTCAAATATTTTTCTTGAACGAAGATTGTTACTAAGCAATTGTAATTATGTATTCATAGAAATAACTGCATGGCCAGTTCAGTTCACGCAGTTCATCTATTAGGCACTTGATTTCGCATAGTCTGTCAGTCATACCTTTTTGCAACACAATTGATTACAGTATATATACATCTAGAAATTGTGCTAAATCGTTTTGTAAATATCCATATAAATATAAATAAAAGCGATCAATACCTAATTCATGTTGTCTTTATTGGTGTAATATTTATTGTTCATTTCAGTTTATATATATATTGCAGCATATATATTCGTTTCGGTTTCGTTTTTATCCTCAGGTTTTCCCTTTAGGTATTCCGTTGGAAATTGAAAGATGGAATTTTTTTTGGTAAAGTTTATTAGTTTGATCTTTGTGTTCTGCATTTGTTGTTAAATATATGTATATAAAGTATGTATTTAATATAAATAGGCTTCCAGATTTCCGGATTATAATTTTTTTATCAAAAAAATGATTGAAGTATTATTTTTAGACATCCTCAGATAAAATGCCGAATTTGCTCCCAAACGCTACTTTGTCTCACGTGGCATGATCGATGTACTCTACTTCGAAGCGGGTAATCAATAAACAATTGCAATAGTGTAATGAATTTAACTGAGTTAAATTGTGCTAAATCTCCTTGTAAATAAACAAAGTATTAAAATAAACGATTTCAACAAAAAATCCTTAAACAGCAATATCGTTTGTTTTTATGACTTCACATGCTTCAAGGCATCATAGTTGATGAATTTAACAAAAATTGTATCAACAAGAGGCAATCATTTCTAAATATAAAATTACGAAGCAGATTCTATGATACTTTCTTAATTGGTTTGTGGTTATACTCTTACTTATTTGAAATTTGGTTAGATTACGATTTTGTTTCAGGGTAAATGCCAGTTTAGTTATCGAATGAGCGCAGACTTTGGCTTACACGGTCGTCGGAGATTGTGCAATTCCGCACCCACACATTACGAAGCGACATCGGGTCTGTGATCTACCAGAATCCGGAAGACTTTCCGCCGGGTGGGTTCTTCACTTTAATGCACGCTCTAACACCAGACCTGTCAAGTTCCTCTGAAAAGAGATTTTGATATAAAATACTTTTTATAGTCAAAGTATATATGTTTGGTAAAGTCAACCTACCACTTATGGAGAAGGAAGACTCCTGCAAGTCACGCTTTCCATCGACGCGTCCTCGCACCGAGGGCGTGCTGCACAGTGATCCCTCCGCCGGCATGGCTAGGTTGCCAGCCAGCATGGCGCTGATGGGCTCCTGCACCGGAATCTGTATGTCGAGCTCAGCGAACCGCTTGGCCATGGTGCCGTTCTGCTTCTCCTCGTGCTGTTCCTCCGGCTGTGACTGCACCTTGCCCTCGATGATGTCGTAAACGAACGGTGGACGCACAGGGTTGGGAATGAACCGTCCAAAGCCCTCCGCTACCCGCACGTTTCCGCGCTCGGCACAGATCCGACCGCGCACCAGAACGAACTCGCAGACGCCGTGCACAGTCATGCCCTCAAATATGTTGAAGTCACAGGCGTGGTGGTGGGTATCCTTGGAAATGGTACGGGTGGCATTCGGATTCCAGATCACAATGTCCGCATCCGAACCGACGGCTATAGGATAAAAGAGCAGGTCGCTTAAAACACTAAGCACAGGTCGAATGTTTCCTACTGACTTACCAATGCGTCCCTTCTGGGGATAGATGTTGAATATCTTGGCTGCATTTGTGCTGGTCACGGCCACAAAGCGGCAAGGGTCCAGAAGCCCAGCGTGGACGCCCTTCTCCCAGACCAGCGACATGCGATCCTCGACTCCGTTGACTCCATTGGGAATCTTGGTGAAGTCGCCCTTTCCAAGCGCCTTGTGCTCCTTGTTGAATGTGCAATTGTCGCTGCCAGTCAGCTGCAGGTCGTCACTGTGGACGTAATGTGAATTAATGACGGAATTAAGGTAGTCCTTTTGGATGGTCAAGGTAACGAAACAAACAATCAACGGCAGGGTGGGATTCTTGGATACTTACTTCTAGAAGCATGGATATGTGGAGTCAATGAATTACTGTCCGTCTGATATTTAAAAAAATAATAATATGACCACCAGGTAACCAAATAAAAGTACGCCGCGAATTCTTTAGAATTTACATTTACAATTACTTTAAGCAACGCAAAACCAAATCAAACAAAATTAATCTGTCCTGCTAGACATCCATGGAAATTTAAAGTTGTTGTTTTTCGTTTAAAGTCTATACGATTCAGCATTTTTTGCAGCATATTTTGGCATAGACAGGCCTACGGGGTCTCCGATTCCACTAACAAAAGGCGATACTTACTAAGCCAGGGATTTCATCAGTTGCCTGGGTGTCTCGGCGGATTCCCGGATCGGGGGACTGGTGATGGCGTAAATGCGATCGCTCTTGGGCACGGCGCTCATGGAGCGGCCCAGTGAGCTGGCCAGAGTCTCCCCGAAAACGCAGTAGCCACTGCGACGGGCGCGACCCACGAGCTCGGCGGAGGATTTGCTGGTGAGGCCGGACACGAAGAGCGGCGTCTTCATCTGGACGATGTGTGAGCGTGTGAGTAAAGCAATGGCAAACATGGAAACGTCTTTGGATTAGTCAGTTAGTTCGGTAACGGGCACAGTTAGTTAGTTAGTAGAAACGATTCAGGCAGGCAAAACCAAAGACCAAGTTAGTATGCAGATTAACCAGTATCAAAAAAGAGAATTTATCCCAGGACCAGAGACCGTAATCAGCAAAAGTTGCATACTTAAGTTTGCATAGCAAAATTGACTGCTTAAAACCTTTTTTATCAAATTAAGCATACTAAAAATTTTATGTGGGGGAAATGTCAGTGCCAATCCGAAATGCCCATTTAGAATACCACTTTGTGGTTTTAGCTCTTTTTGTATTAATGAAATTTAAATTTTGTTTCCAACTCAAGTGCCTAATCCTATTCCCTTTTAAATCTACAAATATTTCTTGCCATATTTGAAAAATAAATAAAGCGGTTTTAAATACTCCTGCAGCTTTCTGTATACAAAAGGGGGGTCCTTAGCGAACTAAATAATCGTTTCCCTCTGATATTTACGGTCCCGGCCCGGAATCTGAACCCAGGCACAACTTACTTCGCCAGCAGCTTCATCAAGAACTCGGGGGTCGTCTTGTCAGGCCGCAAGGGCGGACTGAGCACATGCGCAGCCTCGGCATCGAAGCCCAGGTGCTGGCAACAGGTGGCATCCGTGCCCAGCGCCGCGGCCAGGGTCTCGCCCATTATGTACCGCCCGCGATAGCGGTGACGGGCCCTGGCCAGCTCAATACCCGCCGACTTGCTCATCACGTGGACCACGTACAGGGGGCAATCGGCCTAAATTACGTTTATTGTGGGGTTATATCGAGTGCCGCATACCGCATACCGCATAATATGTACAGGGGTGCATACATACAGAATGGAAATAATAAGAAATCAAAATCAAAAATAACATAAATAAATAGACCATGATTACAGTGCGCGGCACAGTGACTGGCACTCCACCGGCATGGACACACACCGTCTTGTTCCTCTTTTTTTCCGTCCCCACTGACTAGTGACATGGGAGTGGTCTTACCTGGTGGGCCAGGACGCAGGCGCGGTGCACCGCCTCGGCCTCGACCTCCTCGGGCCGCGACAGCTCGTGACCCTCCGGCCCATTGATGCCCTCGGCCAGCAGGCGCTGCGTGTTCTTCGCAATGATGTCGCCGTTCTCCGCGTGGACCTGTGGATACGCAGATAGTATGTTACTACAAGTGGATGGAAAATGGTTGTAAATAGTGTATACAAAAATTGGTTCATCTAAAAATCATCTCAGTGTTTTTTATTTTTTTTTTTAAATTTAAAAGACATTTTTAAATGTAATATCATATTTTTACGTTTAGTATTATCTTTACTAATTTCTCTTGATTTGCCCATATTATATTATGATGTAATCATGTAATGTAATGTAATCATAATATAATATATTAAATGTAATATCATATTTTTACTTTTAATATATTCTTTACTAATTTCTCTAGATTTACCCATATTATTATGAAATAATCGTCCAAATAGTCTTACCATAGCAACGCCATTTAAGTGCCTGATACGCTCGAACACATCCAGAAGGTCTGAATCATTCAGCTAAAATGGAGTAAAACCATTAATTACGAAGCGAGTGCATTCCTTTATAGCCGACGCACCTGGTAAAGTCCTTTGTAGGCCATGAATGTTTTGAAGGAGTTCACTCCAAGCTCTTTGCACAAAATGCCAATCTCCTCAGACACCGACTTTGACCACCAGGTGATCCCCACGTGCAATCCGTAGTCGCAGCATACCTAAATAAATAATTAGATTCATTAGGTAACAACTTGTGGTTCAGTTAAATTTACATATGTGTGTACTCATAGATTCCAATAAATGTTTCAACAAACCAATTCCAGGCTTATAAAGGAGTTCATCCCAGCCTCTCTACGCAGTGACATTTCTTGCACAGCTTTCATGGTACCATGAACATGATCTGTTGAACTAGCATGCTATAAGTAATTTTTCTTGTTGCTTACTAATTCACAGCTCCTCTTAATTGGAATTGGTTGTGTTTGAAGCAAAAGTCTATGTCTGTTCCCAATATAAACTCTTGATTTCTTACCTTAGGATCGGCCCAGCTGCGCCACTTGTCGTAGGCCTCGATCATCGACTCATGTTTGTTGGGCAGAACGAAGTCGACTAGGGAAAGGAATGAATGAGTACAGTTCTTCTGCGTCGCAATGCCTGCTTACTGATCATGGTGGTGCCACCTGCAACGGCGGCCTTGGTTCCATGGTAGAAATCGTCGACGGCCACGGCTCCGCCGAAAGGCAACTGCATGTGGGTGTGGGGGTCGATGCCTCCGGGAATGATCATCAGTCCACTGGCGTCGATGGTGCGCACTCCTCCAGGTATCGTTATTTCCGAGGAGGGTCCCACAAACCTTGAAGTAGGATAAAGGTGGATTAGTAAGGGTTTCCGTACTTTTCTTGTGAGTCATGCCAACGCCCTTGACAAATCAGAGTGTGTTAGATGGGCGCTAGAGTAACTGCGGACTGCGGTAATCCTTTTTGGTCTAGATTATATAATATATATCTCACTAACTTGAAAATGAGTATTTAATTCACTAGTTTTACAGGACAAAATGTTTAGCTCTTTGAAATTTGGAAACAAAGACATACTTGATAATTCCATCTTCGATGTAAACGTCCGCTTTAAACGACTTGTCATGGTTGACGATCTCGCCTGTAATGAAATCAGTTCTTAACTTTGTGTATTCCCGCACGGGCCCGGCTAATGAGCTTACCATTCTTAATGTAGACGCGATTCTGGGCGCTCTGCAAGTGAATCGGTACCTTCTTAACCGGTTTCGGGCTGGTAGACATAGCAACAATCTGCAATTAAATGGGTTCTGTGAGTGAATCTGAATGTTGGACACGACTGGGGAGGGTTCCCCATTTCCCACACACAGACACGCTAGCTGACGTTTTCATTCACTCGCTTGGGGTTGTTGGGCCTTTAGTGGTGGCCGTGGCCTATGACTCATCGGAGGCATCGCTCCAGGACAGGCTGGAGACACGTGCAGCACATTAAACTGCGCAAACTGAACCCAAGCCCATGCACTCGAAGAATTATCATTTCGATGAATTTGGTTTTCAATATATAATACCTCATTATTTATGATATATCCGAAGGAATTTGAATATAAAGTATACGATTTATATCTTACTGTTGTAGTATTTTTATGCAGGTTATGATTGCAGTAAAATTATTAGTGGATAGCAACTAAGTATAGTTTAGCTATAATATTTGAAATGGACTAAGACATTCCTAAAAGGGCTCAGAAATGACAATGCAGCTCCAGTGTTCATTGGGTTCGAGTGCACGCTCTCGTAATCGGTAAGTATTTGTGCAGCGGGGTGTTTTGGGATCATTTGGAAGGGTTGATGATGCTGTGACCCACAGTGCAGCGACACAAATGTCATCGCAACTCGTTTGTCTTTTCAGTAGATTGGTTCCCTCGCTCGGAGAGCGCTTTGTTCCGCCGGCAGACACGGAACACATCGAGACGTGGTGTGGTAACTGCACAACAGGCGGAATATTAATGTTGCGCCTAAGCCGTTACAAGGGCCATCTTCCGACGTCTGCGCTGCAGTCATAGCCCAGGCAGCCAGCCCAGTCAGCAGTCAACCAACCAGGCCAGCGGGCATTAACCCCCTGGTTGGCCGGTCTTCCTCTCGAGCATTATGTATTGCGTACTTGGTGTTGATGTTGGTGCTGAGTGGCGAAGTGACGTACTACGCCCTCGTCACACACTCTCCCACTTCGGATGTGGCACCACTGCGGTGGCTCCACAACGGCATTGACGCCAAGTTCGAATTATGCCACACGGGCACTTTGGCAAACTGGGAAAAGAGAGTAAGCCAGTGCGGCGCGGAAAAGGTTTGTTGTGGTGCCATGACTTGTTTTCTACACTTGCGGTCAATGGGCCAGAGCCCCGCGATTGAAATGGAATATGCATGTGGGTTAAAGAGATTTGGAAACTATATTTTTGTTCGATCCCATTGAAAATTAACTTGAGCCGCTTTTTTCATACTATTTATTCAATAAATAGACATTTATTGATTATAATTTTGTATAATTGGTATTTGTGTGTTCTGTTTCAGGTCGAAAGACCTTTCATTGTACAGCGAATTAAATCCAAGCTAGATTTTTTCTGAGTGTACTCCAGCTCCAGCACATTGAATATGATTTAGCAACTACTGCTTTTGCCGCTAGTGTGTGTCTGCAAATTCAGTTGTGGTAAAAGATTTTTGGGCTGCATTACGTGTTGGAGGATGACAACATTTCATTAATTCAATTGCGACTGGAACCACGGCAATATTGGATAAGTGAACACTTTCCCCTTTGCTGGCGCACGCTGAGTCACAAAACCCCATGTATTTGGATGAACTGATCTAGATCTAGACTATCTGTAGCATGGGTATATAGTACATACATATATGTAAAAACGCGGAACAAGTGTGTTTATACATAGTGCACACAAGGGGGCTCGTAGTTATATAATGCAATTAATGCAGCCGCATTAATGTGGGTCGCTAGATCTCTTTAATTTTGAAAAATGCAGTCGCCTTTATGTGATGTGTGTTCGCTGGTTAAATATTAGTATTTTTGCATCAGTTACTGGCACTTGCTGGTCTAATTAGGCACTCTAACGTGACTCCCAGGCCAGCTGACGATAAATAAAAATAAAGTTAAAGTCATCAAACCATGGAGTTGTTGGTAAGGCAAGTCAGTATGATTCGCACTATTTTCTTTCGATTTAGTACTGCACTTAAGTTGTGTCTATTTTTAAGCCCAAGGAGTAATTGTTTCAACTTGAAAAATTGAATATAGAATCTGTGTTTATAGACTGAATAATTACGTTGATTTTTCTTTCTGTGAGTTTAATCCCCTGATAGCACAATCGGCAGGTTTCAGTTGTTTTGTGGGCTTATTGCGGCTTTTAAGGCCGCTATAAAATCGCGACTTATCTTATCAGCAATGGCCCATCCCCCAGATGGGCAGAGACTAGTTTCGTAGCACCATTACCACCAGGGGGTGTGAATATTGACAAGCGTGCAGCACTTATCGCGAGCCAGCCAAACGAACCTGGAAATAAAGACTCGACCTCAAATATAGACGACCATGTGTACATCTGTTAAGTACGAATTCATCGGCTAAGTTCCGTTGCCATCTGAAATCTCCGATCCTGGCCAGGCATCGCGGCCAAATGCGATTGCCGGTTTTTGCAGAGTCCAACGACTCGAGGCCGTTCGTTTGTTATTAAATCGATAAAAGGCTGTGGCCCGGAAAGGAAGCAACAAGAAATGCCAGTACCCACCCATTTGGATTGGGATTCCGAATCGGAATCGATGAATGTACATATGTATGTACATTGCACCTGATTAGCGGGTTGTAAGTGCAGTTGTACAAACATGCCTATCCACATATGTACATAAATTGCTTACAAATCGGGACTGGGAAATGCCGTCACAAAACTTGCGATTGTGATGTGCAACGTTGGAGAAATTTGAATTAACGGTCAAACAAAATGTTGTACATATATATACTATTGTGCGAGAGCAATAAAATTTGAAAATAGAACGAAAACTGAGAAAATACCCACGCATTGCGCACAAGTATACACACACACACACACGCCCAGCCAAAGTCGGCCAGAAAAACAATTGCAATACAGAAAATAGAGAAGAAAAACCAGCTCGCTTTCTTCTGCATGTGGAACATTCACATTTAATCCGATCGCTCTCTTTTGGTAAATTACCGTTAAATGGCAAAAATCTCACGCGATTTAAATGCTGAACAGTTTAATTTTAACGCACGTACAAGTTCACTGTTTGAAAATCGGAAAACATTTAACTCTCTGTCCGATTGGAACTCGCCTAATGGTGGATTTATTCTTTTCGTGGTGGGTTATGGCAGCTGACTGTTAACAGCACTGTTAGACCGCGGAGCGCTCTGTTAGCCGGCATTTAGATTTAAGATTACTTGGCATCTTATTACTTGTATCAAAGTTCATATTTGGTTTATTGGAAGGTTGAATAATTTCTTGTATTTTCAACCTTTACAAATATAAAGCCAACCAACTCTTATCTAAGGTTGTTAATCAAGTTCGTCCGACCAAATGTGATATTTGAAATATTTCATTTTATTGTTAGAGTGACCAGGCGACTCATTGAGTTTATCAAAATAGTAAAGGGGCTTGATGTCAAAAATTCTGTAAAAGATTTTAAAATTACTCATATTCAGAGCCATTTAGTCCTTGCCCAGATCCTCCCAATTGATTTGATCCGTGAACCATGCTCTCCAGTATTCACAACAGTTTCGAATCTTGGTTAATCATTTCTTATAATAGGAAACACAGTAAATCCATTACAATGCAATTGTAACTGACAGCTTCCTCGTCGCACCTGTAGCTTTTGTAAATCGAGCTCTATTAATTTTATCCCACTCAAAAAGTTTGACCATAATAAAAAACCATATATTTGGAAAAATTATATTTAAATTGAAACTAAAAACAAAGTATTTGTAGAACTTTGTATATGAAATTTGTAACTGAAGTGTTGTTGTGAAAGAAGCGTACTAACTTAAACCTGTTGTGATGCGCTAAACGCGAACCACAAAACCTGCTGGGCAGCGTTAGCGGACTCATCTGAGTCGCCCGATATTGGTTACTTGCTGTGTGGTCTTAAAACTATTAGGTCTATTAGGTTTTTAGATTTTCCTGCTGCGCACAAGGGGCACGGCCTGCCCCGCCATCCATGCTGGCCTAACTGTATAGATAAGAGATAATCGATTTTCGTATTGCCATAGCGATTCGCCGTATTCCCAACAGTTCGGCCGAAGTTTTAGCTACCCAGCCGCCCTACGAAACAAGGCAACTGCTCTTCTCCTGGGGATTGCCGTTCTCGTTTTCTATGAGGATCAGCAGCTGATGAAATATATCTCCCACGGACTGCGAAGGAAATGGATTAGTAAGATTCACCTAGTTGTATTGGTCTTGGTACTTGCTTCGTTTTGTTTGGCGGACGTTTCGAGAAATGCTGCTCGCCAGGACTCGGCCAGCTTCTTGCCTTCTTCCGTGGAAACGGTTCGTTCCTGGTGTAGATCGATCTTGTTGCCGACCAACACCACAGGTACACTGAAAGGCAAGGAAGGTAAGCTTAACTATCAAGTGTAACCCACAAAGAAAAAGGCCTACTATTTCTTGCCCATCACATCCAGCAGTTTCTCGTATATAATCTTCACCACCTCAAAGGACTTTTGGCTGGTTATCGAGTATACCAGGACGTAGCCGTGGTAGTCCATGCTGTACTGGACCGGGAATATGCTGTACTCGTCCTGGCCGGCCGTGTCGATGAGCTTCACGATGTAGTCTTGCGATTTTACACGCTCGATCTTCGTGAAGGCTGCGAATGGGAATAACCGATCATTACGCATTGCTACTGCTATCGAAGCATGGAGTCATCCTGGCTTCAAAGAAATCCGGACGAAATGGAATGTGGCACTTACTGTTCTCAATAGTGGGGTCATAGGAGTCCACGAACTGGCCCTCTACGAACTGTATGCATAGCGACGATTTGCCTGCAGGTGAAGCGCAATTATTATGGGCAATTGTTCATAGTTGTTGCTGTTATCGAAATACTACGCAATTACAAGTGACAGAAGCGACAACAGCTGTGTTTCTTGTTCAATTTTCTGGGAACACTCACCCACTGATCGGTAGCCCATCATAGCAATGTTGCGCTCCTTAGTTGGCATTTTCCTGGGGCCCAGTGCTTTCAAATAAATGGAGAAATGTATTGGTTTTGTGATTTTCCGCACTTTTTTGTTGTTGCTGTCGCCCCTTCGACTTTTTGTGCGCTTGTGTGGGTATGCCTGAGCTCCAATAGCTGTTTGGGTGTGGAATATTGCTTCTGCGTTTAGTTTTCTTGCTGGGTATACTTGTTGCTATCACAGCTAGGGCTTTTTCGCCGATTTTAATTAAATTATTATTTATCAGATCGTCTAAAAGAAAACAGTAATTCTCAAGTTGAGTCAGTGATGGTGTCGACGACGCCGAAATACCACTACTAGCTTAGCTAACATAAGGCATTTACCAGCTATTGCACAACGGTCATACCGCGCATTCGTCTACTACTTTAACAGTCAACACTTGCCAAAATTATGTACGCCTTAGTTGGGTTTTGCGTAAAAAGGGATGCTCTGTTTATATAAGGCCTGTTCGGATATTCAACTGTACAAGTTCGCAGGTTTTTTTTCTTGCACAAAATATTAGAGTATTTTTATCTAGGGACTATAGCAATATGAGCTGATCTGTTTGTCGCAAATTTCGTCGAAAAACACGATTGAAAACACTGTTTTATTTATATGTGTAAAGTTGGTTAGCCGAATAGTATATGTGATGTAATCAAGCTGGAGTATAAGTATAGTAAGTAAGGAGTAAGTATAGGAGTAAGGTATATTGTAAGTAGGGGTGATGCAGATGCGGTCATGTCTAAACAGGCCTTTGAAATAAACCTTACTAAATCGATTGGGAATGAAATCGATAAATGTTTAGTACTCCAACATTTCTGCGGCATTTTTGTGAAAAGTTGTTTTGATTTGAGAATCTTCCAGTTTTCTCATAGCCCCAAACCTATGTTAAATGGGTACAAAGCGTCGCAACATCGAGGATGAGCTCTCTCGCTTCGAGGCGGAGATCTCGAAGCCTCCCGCGCGCAATCTCTTCGTGCCCAACCAGGTGCGCCCGATCATAGCCGCCAACACGTACCACAACGCGCAGCACAAGTTGCAGCATCACCAGGGCAATGGAGGATCGCGTCTGACCGTACCCCCGCCTCCGATCCCGCCACCACCCACCTTCATGTCCACCTTTGTGCCTACGGGGAGTGGAGGTGGCTCCTCTGCCAGCTCCAAGCCGATGTCGGCCACTCCCGTAGTCCTTAGCAGCGCTCCCAAGCTGTATCAGTGCCGGCAGTCTGTGCATGTGCCCACCGTGGCCGCCGCGCCCTCCATCGACATCAACGCCGTCTCTTTTGACGTGACGCAGAAGCTAAAGAAGCTGAAAGCGGAGAAGTCCGGACCCAATCCTATTGCAGAGGAGGCCATTAAGGCGGCGCGCGCATCATCGGCGCTGCAATCCTTCCAGACAACGGAGCGGAAGAAGAAGGACCGCAAGACTGTACGCATCGCTGGCGGAACCGTGTGGGAGGATACTTCGCTGGCTGACTGGCCCGACGATGACTTCCGTATATTCTGCGGAGACCTGGGAAACGACGTCAACGACGAGGTCCTGACCCGGACTTTCAACAAGTTCGCCTCATTCCAGCGGGCCCGGGTGGTGCGAGATAAGCGTACGGGCAAGAGCAAGGGATTCGGCTTTGTGAGCTTCAGAGAACCAGCCGACTTTATTCGGGCCATGAAGGAGATGGATGGTCGCTATGTGGGCAGCCGCCCTATCAAGCTGCGCAAGAGCACGTGGCGGCAACGCAGTCTTGACGTGGTTAAGAAAAAGGAGCGCGAAAAACAGGTGCTGCTGCAGGCGTTCAACTCCATGACCTGAATCTGAGTGTGCATCCTCTATCCTTTAGGCTAGTTTCGATCCCTTTCATGTAGCAAATTAGATTTGGATGTTGCTGCCAAAGATGAGCAATAAATTTACGTTTAGCGATTGACGCGCTGTTTTATTGGAGGAACTATGTACTAACAAACCCTTCCCATTACGAGTAGCACATTTGTAAACCGAAAATTAAGCGATGTCTAGATATGTTTAAAAAGCTTAAGCGGAAAAGCAAAACTAACTATATTTTAAAGCTTTTAGTACCATTTAGACTCTTCCTTGCCAGCGAGGAGAGGTCTCCGAACCGCATCGCCGCCAGCTCGATCATCATGACATACATTGTCATCCTTTCCTGACAATCGCTGGTACTTTCCCTGTCTGCTGGGCCATCTGACCAGTGGTTTGCCGGCTTCAGGGCTGAAGATGGAGGGATAGTATTGTCTGTAGCTTATGTAGCCTGCAAACAGACCAATCAGGCCGCCGATGGTCACATCCTGCCAGTGGTGGTGGTAGTCGCAGGTTCGACTAACTGCAACTAGCAGTGCGATGAACAAAGGTATCACAGCGATGCAGAGCCGCCAGGTGTGGCCGCGTCCCCGTACATCAAAAGCGTGCAGTTTGGCGCCAATGTAGTAGGCAATAAAACCGAAACTAGCAAAGGCGACTAGAGTAGGCGTATTAAAAGGGTTAACGGGCATCAAGGACTGAATTCCAGCATTCAACTTACATGAAGAGTGTCCGCTGGGGAAGCTCTTGCGGCCTTCGTTTATGTCGCCCGGAAGCCCCGTGCAATTGAAATCCAGGATGGAGGTGTCTAAGCCACTCGACGTTGTGTTAAGCACCATCACGCCATCGGGAAAGCAACGGTAGAAGTAGTCTGGCCTGGGCCGACCCACTGTTATCTTTAGTACGCTCGTCGGAATGCCGTTCAAACACAAGGCCAAGGTCCACGCCCAGCTGGCGGCTCTGAAGTCGCGTCTGTCTTTTGTGTACCAGTAGAAGGCGACAGTGACCAGAAAGGGAGCCACTATCACCCAGAAGAGCAGTTCCCCGCCCCTGACGATGTCCGGTCTCCTTGGATTCTTGTATAGCCACAACTCTTCCTCGTGGATTTCCCGCTTGAAAGCTGTCATCGTCTCCAGCTTGCTGTAGATATGAGCAATGCATGAGTGATGGGCTTCGTCATCATTTGCCATGTACACAAAACACTCACAAGAAGGTAATGACGAGGAGAACGCGGAGTAAAACATCTACGGCATCGCTGAGCCCCATATTGGAATTCCCTGTCCTGGGACTTCGTTCCTCTTGCTTTTCGGGCTGAGCGGAGCTGCTGTCCGCGTTCATAGCAAGTTCATTGCGCCACATTTCGTCGTCGTCGGTCCTGGTCATCGATCCTGTGTGCCCGACGTTCTCTGCGGAACTCTCGCTGAGTGTTCGCCTGGATTCTTGACCATCCTTGCCTGCAGGCATTTCGTTAGTCCTTTGGGAATATTTGGTTGTCAGCTTCGGTCTGCTATTTGTAGCCTAAATAATTGAAGAGATAAGCAAACGACGAGTCATTAATGATTGCACTTATGCTTGGGGGTAAGCTATGTCAGGTGTGGGATAGATCGATTAAAGGCCTATCTAACTTTGTTACTTCACTTATCATTCGCGGACTGGGAAGGCTAATGATGGAAAAGCTACTGCTCTTAGAGAGTATACCAAAATTGCTAGGCCATACCCCCTTAGTTAAGCGGTGGCAAGGTGTGAAACATACGATTTGCGCGATTAGATACAAATACTGAAAAAAAAATATGGACCCATATAAATTTTTTTAAATTAAGATAAATATTTTTCCAATCATTTTTGCGATTGTGCTAGCATTTGCTCACACTAAAACAAAAATTTGATTCGACATTTTTGTAGGTATGATGCAGTGATCCTAGAATAAATGATGACAGTTGCTTTGCTTTCAGTGCACACTTGGCCACGCTTTCCGTCAATGTTTGTCGTCAAACGCGGTTACGTATAGCCAGATACGTGTGGATGTATGTACGTGGAGTACATTGCATGGCTATATCAGCATCCGATGCCATATGCACACACTATGGATTTACTCAGCCAGGCGTCATAAATATTATTGGCTTGCTGGCGCACCTGTTCCTTGGCTGTGCCTCCGATATTGCCGTTGCGGTCAAATGGATTTTCCCGGCGCCGACTTCGTAGGTCCACTTTACAACTATCGGCCATTCTCACCCAAACCGCTGCGATCCCCTGGGATTTGGGTATATTTGAGTTGACTTTGAAACTGTTTGCACTTGGAGCATCCACTTGTTGCTGGTGCTGTTAATCCCAACGTGGTTTTAACTTGGTTGCTTTCCGACTGCTGGTGAATGCTAATAGCAGGGCTTTTTATAAACTTTCTCTAATCTCGCGACAGCATCGTAAAGCAAACAGCGAAGCAAGCCCTTCACTTCACCCCTCTGCGACAACTAATGCGCAGGAAAACAACAACAGCTGTTTGCCCTTTTGGTTAGTCGGATTCCCCGAGAGTTTGCAGCTCGCAGTTTTACCTGTTAATTGGGCATGGCCGTGTTTGTGGCGGCAGCAATTAAAAGTCATTGCGTAAAATGCGGACGCACGCGACACAAGCAAACATTTTGCAGACGTTTCTTTTCGTTTTGATTTGATTCGGTTGTTAGTTTGCAAAGCAGAATCGGGCTAGCGATACCGATTGTTATCGACAGGAGTGCCACCTCGGCGCAAAACAGCGATAAGTCAGGGTTGTTGGTCCAATCATATGATTGAAAAATCTCCGTCAGACCGAAACATAAATAAAGCTATTTTACAGCCCGCAATGAGCAACAGAAACAGCGAAAAGGAGGCCGCTGGTCAGCTGCTGGATGACTTGTATCTGGACATGTTCCACCTTGTCGAGGAGCACACCCAGTGTCGGGTTAATTTGGAGCAACGCAACGCCAGTGGGTCGATTCTCCTGGCCCGCACTAGATTTCAGCACGGAGGCAGCCATTGCGTTTCCACCGCCCAGATTCCCACGGAGAACAGTGCCGAGTTCAACGCCCTTTGTCGGGTCGTGGACTCCACGGATGGCGTCTCTATCGAGCGACAGGCGGTGGACAAGTCCAAGGGCTTCGTGGAGCCCCTTCACTGGTTCTCGTAAGCACTGATAATGCCTATATGGGTCATCGTGATAACTGTTTTACTCCTCTTTCCAGGGTTCTGCCACCGATGAGCTTGCGCAATGCTGTGTCCAAGTTCAAGGATTGCGTAGAGTTGGTTGCCGAGAGCACTAATCTGCAGCGACAGCTTGCAGTAGCGCTTGATTGGATCACAAAGCTGCGCAGGAGTACTTTGCTGAACTAGATACTTGTGGCTTACACACAATCCATACAATGTTAAGAATAAAGTAGATTTCAAAACCTTATTGAAACAGCACTCACTGACTCTAACAAAAGATACGAGGAATTATTGTTGATCTATCTTAAACGTCAATTTCATAATTACCTGACATATGATCCCACCTCATTTCCAAATAAATATAAATGACGCCCAAAAAAAACATTTTTTAAGTATCAACTAACAAATATTATTAAAATGTATTAAATAAATATATCGCAATTAAAAGTATTATAGTAATTTTTAAAAGGAAATCTATTAGTTTTTCCCAAAATAAGAATGCTAATACTAGAGCCCATTTTTCGTTCCTCTTGTCTTTAATTTTAGAAGCTAGTTTTCACTTGTAAGGTATGATTTTCTTTCGCAAGCTAGAACCAGAGCCTTTGGCACTGTCATTTAAAATAAACATAATATACACCTTCCGCAAACCTTATGGGTTCCAATAACGGATAGAGTTAAAAAAATAATAAGCAATGCTGTAAGTTATATTTTCAGTGTACGCAATTAAATTGATCAATTTCTACCGAATTCTTTCCATTTTAATTTGATATTTTAGTATTCCTCAATTTGAAATATTTCCGCCAAGTTCTTAACGCTCTTATGTGCGAGGCTGCCACTCGGGGAGCACAGAATTAGCAAGTTGGCAGCACCGCGAATTCTACTCGTCAGCTGTTTGGTTTGTCAACCATTTTTCGCTTCGTGTTCTTAGCGAAAATTAATTCGAACGCGTAATTCACTTGTTACATTTGCGGAGTGCATGGTGAGTACCTAGTTCGATGGTAATTGAGATCCTTCGCGTCTCAAGTTCCATTTCTGAAATGCAACTGGGACAGAAGCTGGGGCTCAACGCCAAAAATCGATAATTGTCGAACGAAATAGAAGCATAAAATTGAAGCACTTAACAAGTAATGTAATTAAATTGCAGTCCAAATAATAAAAGCATATTGTGCGGGAACATGCGAGCGGAGAAAAAACGGAGGAGCAGATAACAGATAGCCAAGCGACGCCCAAAATTCTCAGATAGAAGCGCAAGAAGCTGCAGCACAGCGCGGGCCTTTGTTGTTGCGTCTGTTGCGGATCCGGGGCAACGGCACCACCTATTCCTACAGCGCGCCCTCCGTACCCTCTCCCAACCACCCACGTGCCTGCCACCCACTGCAAACATGAGTAGCGCTCGGGATCAGGAGGATCCCCCGCTGCTCCAGCTCGAGGACGAAGTGGATCTCATCGGGGACTTCGTCAAGGACCAAACGCCGCCCAGAAGCCAACTGGCTCCGCTTCTAAATGGGTTCGAGTCGACTAGCAACCAGTTGACCACCAAAGTTGAGGTAAGTGCCCTCCGTTCTCAACCTCACCTGCAATACGAACTGGCTTTTCTCTTAGATCAACACTATTGGCATGGGCAAACGCAAGACCAGGAGAAGAGGCAGGAAGGGGCGGGAACCCATGCTACTGTCGGTGGACGACGAGGAGGATGAGGAAGAGGCGTCAGAGGAGAGGAGCCACTCCAATGGGCTGCCGCCAGGCGAGGAGAGTGCCGGCGGCGATGCTGTTATACAGAAACCGCAACTGGATAAGTTGGTCATGCTCCACGACGACCAGACCGACGACGAAGATGGCGAGGATGCTGTTCTGCTGAAGAGAAGCTCAAACCCGCGCAACCAGAGATTCAAAGGCCGCACTGAGGAAAGCATCGAGACCAGCAGCCAACCACCCCAGATCATTAGTCACATCGCACCCGCGAAGGTAGCATCGACATCTCCCCTAAAAACCACTGCGCACACTGCTCTCGCCCGTCATCCTAATGACGAGGCCGACGACATTTGCCTTGTGCCAGAAATCGACTTCGAGGGCATGTCCACGGACGCCGGCAGCGACAACCGGGAGTCACAGCCGCTCCTGGGTGGAGGTAGTGCCAGCCACGGAAGTCGCATCAGCGAGCTGTTGGGCGGACTAGGACGCGGGCACGATCATGTGGAGTTCGTGTCGAACACATTTGGCGGTGAGTGCGCTGCGGTTTAATGAAGTCGTACAAGTTGCATTACGTACTTACTACACCCAGACAACATTGCCCCCTTGTTTGCTTTGAGGCTTTATTTATGATGATTATCAGTTCTATGGCCGCATATAGTGGTTCTATTAAAATAAGGAGCGCCAGCCTAGAACAGATTATTTAGTGACTCGATGCTATTCGTTCAACTTGATCTCATTTGTATAATAGGGGGAGGATCTGTAGCTTTAAACTACCACATCCGCTCTGTAAAATTTATGAATATAAACGTATCGATCTAGACAATAATGTCCGTCCAAATTAACTCAAAGAATTAAGCCAATGCTTACATACAAAGTACACGTTAAATAAACATTTAGTACATTGTTTTACAATATTTTATACTCCTCAAAAAGACTTATAAATAAAAGAATCAGCAAGTCATTTCTAGCTATTACAAGTTTTAAATTCTGAGTCAAAACAATCATTCTGGTCGACCCAAGTTCGCTTAAAAGATTATTTAAATGCGATTTGCCTTTCTTGCTTAAAACCTCATGTTTTTGTATGCCCTTGCAAAGATAAATAATATTTGTATGATTCAATAGAAAAGTTATAATGAAAAAATCAAGGGGTGTAAACGAACATCCTCACAGAATCATTGCTTTGCATTAATGTCTTCACAAAGAAACCTTACGAAATTCTCAGTCAAGCTTTTAATGGTGAAACAAGATAGGAAGCTTTAGTCGAGTTCCCCGACTATCAGATACCCGTTACTCAGCTAGTGGAATTGCAAACGAGAAATTTCAACATTTTCTGCAATATCGGTAGAAATTGAGGAAAAAATAATGAAATAAAAAAAAAATTCAAAAATTTTAAAAGTGAGGGCGCGAGAGAGACAAATCTATAAAAACTTACAAGACATAAAAGTGAAATAATATCACATTTTTCAAAAGTGTGGGCGTGACAGTTTTGTGCGGCTTTGTGGGCGTGGCAACATTTGGAAATAATCTTGCGCTGCAGTTATGTCTCTGGAAGCTGCATGCTTAATCTCAACATTCTAGCTTTTGTAGTTCCTGGGATCGAGGCGTTCAAATGGACAGACAGACATGCCAGATCGAGTCGGCTATTTATCCGGATCAAGAATATATATATATGTACTTTATATCGTCAGAAACGTTTCCTTCTGCCTGTTACATACTTTTCAACGAATCTATTATACCCTCTTACTCTACGAGTAACGGGTATAAAAACACGATGTGATCACTTTATTTGTGAAATCTATATCCTAATTCTACTGATGCTTTTTTAAATATTTTTCAATTGCAAAATTGTCAGGAAAACTCTAATGAAAATCACATATAATGCTGTAAGAAAGCTTAGTGCGCTTGTACTGGTAAATGATTTGCAAATACCCAATTTCTGAGCGAATTTTTAATAACCCAATTTCTATGTGTAGGGAATTGAAGCTTAACTTATTATATGTAGAATGTGTTGTGGGAGTGATTTGCACTTCCATTGTGTATCGTCGCAATCTCGGTGACCTTTGATTTTGGTGACTCAGGTGATCGCACTGCTCTGCTGCATTTAAACAAATGATGATGAGTAATACCCCTCATTTGTTTTCGTTGCATTTCGAAATGAGTTCTGAAAGCAATTTATAATTTTTCTGTTCTTTTTGCATCAGTTCTCAATAGGTTATGTTATCAGTATATACAGATATTACCAGATATACATATTTTGCTCGCCGTAGCAGACAATCCTCCAAATTTCAAAATATTTTTTACACTTGTATGGTTTCTACTAGTCCTATTTTTTTCGACCTTAAGCATAAAAATTGTGTGTTGTAAATGTTGGTGTACTTGGATGTCATCGTGGTCGTCTGTAGCTCGGGTTTGAAGTCAGTCAGGAAGCATTTAAATAATTTCGAGGAAGGCTCTTCAAAAATGGAACTTGTTCCCTTGGCAACTGTCGCCAATTGGACATACCCCCATGCCGAAAACCAACCTAAAGACGTTTCTCAGCCAGGAGCCGTTGCCTAACAGTATATCAGCCGATGAGCAGCCCACAACAAGCAAGGATGCACTGGAGACCAGCTCCTCGGTGCCCTCCAGCACCGCGCCCTACGCCTGTATCTGTTGCGAGACCAAGTGCCAGCTGGACAAGGACTTTCTTGAGACGCAGTCCGACAAAGAGGGCGATCCCCCCTTTCTGGTGAACTCACCGTCGATGGCGCGTGACTCCAAAGACACAGTCACCGTTCAATTCGCGGCTCCTCGCTGCAATTGCGCCAACTGCCCGCTGAGGAACTTCTGTAAGTGGGGGGTTGGCCCTTATCGAAACGCTTTGGCTATGCTAATTGTGACCTGGTTCTCCTTTATCAACTGCCAGCCGACTCGAAACCTCTTAACTGCCGGCGCATTTAATTGAACTGTGCCTTCATGTCGCGCTTGTCGAGCAGTAGTCGCGAAAACTTCATCCAGCAAGTGTTCTCCATTTGCCAGGACTTGCAGGGCGATTTCAACGACAACTTTGATTTCATAGGTAGCGCCAAAGGATTTGCGTCATATGCAATTTCTTGATATGAGGGACATGCCTTCATCGCAGTCTTATAAGCGTTTACGTGCATGTTCGCTGTAATTATTTTTATCCAACAGCTGGCTCGACATTGCCTACTCATTTCGGTTTCAATCGCCTCTCTGTTGGTGTGTTAATAAATTATTAAAACCATAATTCTGAAGCAAATTCGTCCAATTTGAATGAGTAACGAACAGTCTTTACTTATACGCCGCTTGAGGCATGCGAATCTTCGTTCTACGCACAAACTTCTTCAGTAATTTCAAGCTTTAGCGCAAATGTCTATTTTTGTTTGACTTAACATAACTTTTAATCTTTTAATTACAGATGACCCGCTTTTCTCGGAGATTGTGGCGAAGGCGGAGGGGGCCATCGAGAATGGTGTGCTGCCCGAGCGCATTTACCAGGGTAGCAGTGGTTCCTATTTCGTCAAGGATGCCTCCCATGTGAGTAGGAAATCAAGGCGTTTTCCAACCGTTTTTGCGCATAAGCTAGGAGTTAGGTCGTCCAGTTCTGGGCCTAACTTTGTTAATTTGTTACTTTTCCGCGCATATATAAATAAATCAGGTAATAGGGGAAGTGCTGCAACTATAAGGCTTTTGCAAAACTTTTGGTTTTTTCCTGAAACAGTATAAAAATATTGTAATAGATGGCCGGGTTATACTAAATATATTATTTTTGTAATTTTGAGTGATTTCTTTGTATCCCCTCAGCAATGTCTGGCTGTATTTAAGCCGAAGGACGAGGAGCCCTATGGCAGACTGAATCCAAAGTGGACGAAATGGATGCATAAGCTGTGCTGCCCGTGTTGTTTTGGCCGAGCTTGTTTGATTCCCAATCAGGGGTAAGATAATACAACTTGTTATTATTATTTATCAAAAATAAATTGAGTAAATTATTTCATTTGCTCGTATACATTTGTAAATGTGTTCGTTTTGTATGTAATATAAAACAAATTATTAAAAAGTTGTTCATATCTGTTAGATACCTTTCCGAATCAGGAGCCAGCTTGGTTGATCGAAAACTTAATCTGAATGTGGTTCCAAAGACGCGAGTGGTCAGATTGGTTGCTGAGAGCTTTAACTACGCCCGCATTGATCGCCAGAAGGCCAAGCTGAAGAAGCGCATCAAGGAGCACTATCCGTCAGCTCACTTCAACCGAATGAGCCTTCCTCTAAAGGTGAACTGGGCTTAAAAACAAACCGACTAGGTATTAACCAATTTAAAATTCCTTACAGACTGGCTCCTTTCAGCTCTTCGTGGAAGGCTACAAGGATGCGGATTACTGGCTGCGGCGCTTTGACAGCGAACCGTTGCCGCCTTCAGTGGCCAAGTCATTTCAATTGCAGTTCGAGCGCCTTGTCGTTCTAGATTATATCATACGCAACACGGACCGGGGCAACGACAACTGGCTGATCAAGTACGTGGCCCCTAAGATCACGACCCAGGTGGGTGGCACCGGCGGCAGGACTATGCACGGAATCGTGAAACCCAAATTGCCCAATGCGTTGGGGGCTTTAAAAATCGTTGATTTAAACGAGCCGCAGGCTAGCCCAAAGACGACGACCGATGGTCGCCCAATAAACCAGCTGGATGGTGGAGCAGCCACCAATGCACAGCAGGACAGCAGCAGTCTGACCAGCAGCGAAGATGAACCCTCCTCGAGATCCCATTCGTCGGAACCCGATTGGAATGTGGTGAACTCGGCCTTCATTCGGATTGCTGCCATCGACAATGGCCTCGCTTTTCCTTTTAAGCATCCGGACTCTTGGCGAGCTTATCCCTACCATTGGGCATGGTTACCGCAGGCGAAAATTCCATTTAGCGAGGAAATCAAGGAGCATGTGCTGCCGCAGTTGTCAGATATGAACTTTGTAGAGGAGATCTGCACGGAGTTGTTGTACCTCTTCCAGCAGGATCGTGGCTTTGACAAGCGTCTCTTCGAGCGCCAGATGTCGGTGATGCGGGGCCAGATTCTTAATCTCACCCAGGCCCTGAGGGATGGTAAGTCGCCGGTGCAATTGGTTCAGATGCCAGCGGTGATTGTCGAGCGGTAATTATTATATTTTCCCGCGTATTGATTGGCAGTAATGTTTCCTAATATTTCAGATCAAGCGGGAGTCGTTTCTTTTCTTTTACGCAGCGCTTCCAAAATAAGAGCCCTTTCTTCTCTTGGTGGTAAATTGCCGGTTTATTGGTACTTAGTCGCATCATTTACTAGCCTCTGCTCTTTTTCAGCTAAATGGAGTAGCCCCTGCCAGGCCCACCAAAAATCAAACCGAGCAGTCGGTTAATGCCGTCTCATCGTCTTTTTCATCGTGTATATGCGCTTATTTCCAAATCGTAATTGGCTGCTGTCTGCAAGGAGCCCAGAAATGTATTTTGTTGTATATGTTAGTTTCTTTCGCCAAAAACCCCAAAATGTCATATTCAATAATTAATTACTTTTATTACGAGTTTATGGGATAACTTACCCATACCATGGTTACATATTTAGGAATTACCTTATGTTTGTGAAGTGCTTCTATAGTCAATTGTTTCCGCATAAAATATCATAAAATCAAGATATCCTGGAGTTTTGTGAGAAAAGTACTCGCCCAAGTAGATTACGCATTACTTTATTATTTAATTTAAATCATAAAGCCTATAGGTGAAATAATCAAAGCTCATTTACATTCGTTAGCACTTGAGTTAAGGATTACCATTGTTATTAGCATTAGCACATATTTAATGGTTTCCTTCTCCAAACTATAACTTAATTTAATTCTAGTTGATGGATGCAGGCAGTTAAATAATACCAAAATACATATGTGAAGTATTTAAAATTGTATGTAAAAGGCAAGCCTTAATTACAAACATTAAAAAATTATAACAGTTGAACAGCAACTAAAGCTCTTTCGATCATATGTAAATACCTAATTATTTAATAACAAAATATCTTAAAACTAGCAGCAGACGTACTTAAATCCTAAGGACTTGTTCAACAATTTATTCACTATAGGAGCCAATCGTCTGCTGCATCGGATGCCAGTCTACTAACTAAGACAACTTCGCCTTTCTGGACCTCAATAACATTGCATTCGGTACTTTGAATTTTATCCTCCATTGGAACACAAGGTATAAGGACTGCTCCAGGGTCGAGAGTTTCGTTTTTAATGTCCATTTCAACATATGGAATTTCGGATTCCATTGCATTGTTTCCAGCAACTATTTCAGAATTCGGAAACGATTCCGGTCCCAGGGGCTCGTTTTTAACTGGTATCTCGGATTCATTTCGAAAACTCTCTTCCATGGTGCTGGACATTATACTTACATGATCCGGTATCTTATCTTTGCTCCCTTTGGAAACATTCTCTTGCACGGGGCTCAAGAACATTTCAATATCTGAACTGAATGTTGCAACGCGTTTTGGCGTAGCTAGGAAAGCAGATATCGAAGGCTGATACCCTGTACTCAACATAGATGCCCGACCTTCGTACTTGTACCACTGTGTGGGCACATCTCCAGTGACAAAGAGATTGCGACCCACAGGAACGGTGCTTATGACTCGCTTCGGCTTGAGGAAGCGTACGAACCGCTCCAACTCCTTGTAGCTGGAGTGTTCCGAGTACTCGATGCCGATCGTGCTAATTCGCTTTCCGTAGGAAGGCTTGGAGTTTTTTTCCCAGCCGCTTGGTCTTATACCTAGCAACATATCATATTGGTCCTCGAATAACGTGAAATAATCAACCAGGCTCTGAAACAAATTGATATCCTTTATAAGGTGCTGCAATAGTATACACTTTAGACCTACCGGATAGCTGATTTTTCCCATTGTAACAACGTGCAAGTTTGCTTCGCGGGGATCTTCTGTTAGCACAGAATCTAGATCCGGCCATTTAAGGCATCTAACGGCAGTGCTGCGATTGCTTTCCGTCCAAACTTTCATAGTGAACTCTTTCGCTAGGGCCAGCCATATCTTCTCTTTTCCTATCACATAGGACCCGCAGACGATAAGGATTCTTTTGGATGCATTTTTCTCTATGAAAGCGCGCACCAGATAAACGGCACGGTCAACGCTCTCGCTTTGGTGGCAAAAGTCGTAGTTCTTATTCATATACGTTGTGTCCAGATAGAGCAGGTCGATGTTTGCATGGTTCCAGAAGATCGGCAGGGATTCCATGTCCGCGCTACCTCGAAAGTCTCCAGTGTGCAGTATGCATTCGCCAGAGCTCAGTTTGAAGAAGAACATGAGTGCTCCAGGACAGCTGAAAAGGGTAGAAAATAACAGTTTGGTAAGCTTAAAAAAATAGCGATTGCTCTTACTGGTTAGCTTCTAAGGCGGTTACTTGGACGCCATTTACGACCAGGGTCTGGTCCACTTCAATCTCATGAATGTATGTTGTATCGACTTTAATAAATGTTTGCACCAGGCGCGCTGTAGTAGGACTCACGTAGAGAGGATAGCAGAACTTTTTAGTTAGGCCGATGTAGTGATCCGCATGAAAGTGGGTGAGAAAGTAATGTGTGACTCCATCTATATCCCCAAACTGAAAACCGTCGACGCAGAAGGATGTACCTTCCACGACTTTATAGGGCGGACAAGGCTTTGGTTTTTTTTGTTTGCGTCCAGTTTCTTTTTTAGAGTTTTTGGGCAGCGGGCTTTCCTTTGGGATTGTTACCGTTGATGAGCGGAAAGAATTATTCGAAGGGGATTTTTTGGAATCGGGTGAGATCTCGACCCTGCATGTGCTGTTTAGATACCCATCGAGAATGGGAACTTTTTTGGGACTGTTTAGCTGCGCCTCTGGACTTCTATGCTCCGCTGCTAGTACAGGGCTACTTGTTTGACAGGGAGAGGCTACTATGGAAGACTTTTTTTCTGTGGCTTGCTCGTCCTCGGAGCACAGGTCAATTACGTCCGACTCGGTGATGGCGTTCTCCTTGCCTTTTGCACGGCGACTAGGCTGCACTCGCTTCTCTGGCGGTTTCGCATCCCGCTTGTCCGTGGAGGCGGAGAAAGTGGTTGTAGACTCCTCGAACAGGCGCTTGCGTCTCCTGGAATTTTCTTTCCGCTTGTCCAACGGAGGATCCACCGTCTTGGAGGCGGAGTTTGGCACCATGTTGACTTTGTAGTTCTTGACGGCACTTTTAAAAAAGCTATCGATGCGCATTTGTCCTGGCAACGGAGTCTTCTTGCTGGAACGCTTGAACGGAGTGCCGACTATAATTGGACATGCTTCCGCTTTTGGCTGGATTTTTTTTGCCGTGGAAGCCACACGAGCTCTTCCCGCTTTTTTCTGTTTCGGCGTGCTCTTCTCGGTCGTGGGGGGTGGGTCCGGTTCCACATTAATTCGTATAGTGGCCTGCAGATCCGCGATCGCTTTTATCTTTATTTTTCCTACATTGGACATCTTGTTTACAAATAACTCGATATCAACTTCACGCCAGGATCGCACCGGTTCAATTGCCCGATAGCCAGACAAACTGCTTCTTATATCGAAAGACGAGATGGCGATTTTGACGCAACCAAAGGTCCTACTAAAAATCGAGCGCAATATTTGAATAGCCAATCAAACAAAACAAACGTAATCCAAATAACCAATACCAATTTTAACGATGAATTTTCGGAATACCATTGACCTATTAAGTACTGTAGACTGAGCGTTAAAAATCAGCATTTTCCGTGTTGCTGTATAAAAATGGGTGTTTTCGTATTTGTTTTAAGAGGCACATTATCTAATTTATACTGTCTTCCCTTACTGTTTTATTGTTGGCTCAAAGTCTTGAAATTCGGCGCAAAAATGTTCGACCACGCAATGGTTTAAAAAATATTAACTTCGAGCATGAAGCCATTTTTTAATACCAATAACAGGATTACGCATTTATTACCAACATGGCCAAGTGTAGAAGCTTGTGATTTTTTTTTTTTTGTATTGTATATGTAATATGTATATATTTTTAAAATTATATAATATTAATATTATTATAATCCTGACTCTGAACTGACAATTAGGTTTTAGTATGAGGTGACATGTATGCAGGTGCTTTTTCAATTTATGTATTGAACTGAACTTATCGCAGCTGTTGGAAATTTCAACAGAGGAGTTGAACATACATATGCAAGCATATGACCCAAATCTTAATTTGTATCTACGCACTGCTTGAATGTATCGTTTCTTGCCAGAGTTATCGTTTTTTTGCCATCTCTGTTACATATATATTATTATAACAAAATTAAACAAAACAAAACAACAAGACGGTGGAAAAAAGGCAACTTGTTTTTGGGATTGTTAGACTGGGCTTCTTCTTTCGTGCCTTCAGCATGGCATGGCGATCCGTGGGATCCAATAATGAAGACCTCATTCGCCAACTGAAGGGTGAGCCATTAAATTCGCTCTATGTAAAGGAAAGAGTTAATAATAGAACCGAATCCCCAAGATCACGGCGTCATTGCAAGTGAAGGCGTAGCCCAGGCGATGAAGGAAACCGACCGCAAGCACTACTCTCCGCGCAACCCCTACATGGACGCCCCGCAACCCATAGGAGGAGGTGTCACCATCAGTGCTCCTCACATGGTAACTTAAAAACAAAGCTTGCTGACCATCTTTGCTATGTGAGCCAATGCCCACACTCACGATTCTTTTAGAAGGAAGCACACAGAAGTTGGTAATTTCAATCCTCTCATGGCTCTTACACTAAAGCATTTCTGTGGCTCATCATCTGATAAGAGTCGTTATAGTGACAGAGCTATCTGTTGCAAAGACGATTTGAAATGCAATGGATGTACAGTTTTATTTTGACCGCATTTCATCTTAAAAGATTTTCGGGGCACCTTGTAGTGTAAATTGTAATAGTATAATTGGCCTCTCTTTGTATGTAAAGAAGGAATAGTTATATTGTAAAATTATAACAATAATAGTTTTCGAAGTTCATTTGAAGACTAGTTCTTCATTCGCGTAGCCTTGCCCTATCTTTGATGGTCAGTAAGGCTAGGAGATTACAACGTGTCCACCTTATTATTTGCTTCTCTTGCTTAGCATGCCTTTGCCTTGGAGTATCTACGCGACCACTTGAAGCCCGGTGCACATATACTGGACGTGGGCTCTGGATCTGGTTACCTCACAGCCTGCTTCTATCGTTACATCAAAGCTAAGGGCGTCGGTGCGGAGACCCGGATCGTGGGCATAGAGCACCAGGCAGAGCTGGTACGGCTGAGCAAGTCCAACTTGAATACCGACGACCGTAGCATGCTGGACTCCGGCCAGTTGCTAATCGTCGAGGGCGACGGGCGTAAGGGATACCCCCCCAACGCACCGTATAATGCAATTCATGTAGGCGCAGCTGCTCCCGACACGCCCACCGAACTCATCAACCAACTGGCGAACGGCGGACGCCTCATAGTTCCAGTCGGTCCCGACGGCGGATCTCAATACATGCAACAGGTGGGCAGATGCTTACGAGTAACTGCTGGAATAATATGAATTAATTTTCACAGTACGACAAGGACGCCGATGGAAAGGTGCAGATGACACGTCTCATGGGCGTAATGTACGTGCCCCTTACAGATCTTCGCTCCTGATTGCACAGAGTGGGAAGCTCGCTATTTGTAGTGCTGCTGCTGGGGTTTATTCTCTATCGCGTTTTTGCTTACTAGTTAGTAAATAAATCATAATTGAAATACTTGTTTTCACGTTGAGTCCAAATACATAAGTTTCCTGAACAAGCCACCACTTCCTTATTCTTGGTTTAGAACTAACTAACTAAACTACAAAGAATCCCATTTAACTGATTAAATCTTGAGAGAAATCTTGAAAGAATATCAACACGAATAGAAATAAAAATTCGATACTTAGGGCCAACTTTCCACAGAGTTGTTATTCAAAAGTGTTATTCAAAAAAGCTTAATTTTTGGTACAAAGTATGACTTTTAAAAATGTTAACTACGTCTTTAGTATTTAGTATTCACAGCGATGAATAAGCTAATTGTAAAATATTCCTGCTTAATATTAAAAATCAATAATTAATATTACTATTATTATTTTTGAAATTCTTCGATAACATATCTGACTTTGTTTTAAGAAACTAGCTAACAATTTTATATGCATTTCCATACTGCGTCCCAAAAAGTGAGGAATAGATTTCCGAAACGGAAAAGCTGGTCAAGCCTTTTAAAAAATTAAAATAAAATCAAAATATTTTTTAAAATTGGGGAGTTAGGCACTAGTGTTTATGTCTAATAGCCACTAAAATACTTAAATAATTTTCGTTTGCTACATTGCATTAGAGAATTGTCCCTAATCATTCAAGCTCAGTATTTCAATGATAATTAAGCCAGGAGTATTTTTAAAAATTGTATTTTTAAAATCGCTCACAAGCCGAACCAAGCTAAAACGCCAAAACTATTGAATACTGGTATATTATTTATCTTTCCAACCTCCCAATAGCTAATTAACGGGTATTTGATAGTTGAGGCACTCGCTATAGCGTTACCTCTTGATTTTGAATGCGACGGCAGGGAAATATGTTGAGTAGATTTATTGATAGACATATTGTAGATAAAACTTTAAATTATGGCGTAAGACTAATCTGTCTAAGCAGTGCTTCTACTAAAGTACGAGGTATAATAGTATATGATTTTATTCCATCTACCGCGCGATATGAAACTGATTTTCCAATTCCCATTCGTACTAGGCGGTTTCTACAATTTCACTTGACATTAATGTCAAAGTCAAGTTCAGTCGGTTGTGGAAATACTATGAAGGGCAGTAGTCGAAAGGAGCTCGACCTGGGAAGTTCTCCCAGCGGTCATAAATTACACTAAAAGTCTAAAAACGCGATTTATTTAATAAACAGTTTTCATATAAAGTAAATTTGTTTGAAATCAAAAATTATTATATGCAAGAACAATAAGAATTAACCTCGATGAAGAGGTTATGTTCTTAGAGCTAATAGGGATAAATTGTTTTTTAATGTGTATTCGAAATGCTTCTTTCGGTAACCGTTGACCTTATGATTAGAAGGCTATCAAGTTGTGGGCCACGTGATGCCTAAAACATATGTATATGATTTATCTGGTTTCACTTTTTTAATTTATTTATTAATTAAATAGCGGGCAATGTTTGTGGTTAGAATTTGAGATTTGTGGGTTGAGTTTCTTTTTTTGGAAATAGTATTACTCCTCGGGTAAGTTGTGGCAAGCTGTGCCAATATCGAACTGACATTCAAAAATCAAACAAGCCGCATTTGTAACTTTCGGCTGCGATTTGAATTCTTTTTGATATTTTTGAAAATCCAATTGGCGGGTATCGAGTCACAACCCTGGCTGACCGATAACGTGCCGTGCATCGTCCACCTATCGACCAGTGCCATCACTACTGCCAAAATGTGGCAATTTGAAAAAAAAAAGGCAACTGAAATGAGAACGCCTCAGAATGAAATGCCCGACAAGGAGGAGAGCTTCAGCAAAAAGTCCTTGTCGTTGCGTTCTTTGTCCGCGATATCCTTGCACAAAACTGGTCAGCGGCTGGACGACGGAGTAGCCGAGTGGCTTTCCCTTAATATTAAGGAAGACATTAAAAACCTGCTAAACGAGGCGGGAAAATACATGCGACGCATCCGGGAGCGCCGGTTGAACCTGTCCCACATCCAGCATGCTGTCCGAATGGACGACAACCTGTGCCCTGACATTTTTTTCAGGCTGATCCATTGCGACGATTGCACAAGGCCTCTGGCCGAAAATGTACCCAGAACCGTCGGCGAGGCTGTAACTACCGAAAATGAGGATAAACCTCTCGATGTCGTGCCAGATTCCGCACCGGAGATTTCTTTGGAGCCGGCTCCCGTCCACTCCGGCTGGCTAAAAGTGGAGCAGGTGCTGCTAAATCCCTGGAAGAGCTATCCGCTGACCAAGGAACAGCAGTCCTTCTTCGAGTTGGTTACCGAGGCCTGCATGGGCATATCGGAATCCCGGCGCCAGCGGGCCCTCCAAACTCTCTCTACTGATCCGTCGCTAGAGGTGTTGCTGCCCAGGCTGATCACGTTCATCGCGGACGCAGTGGCTATCAACGTTACCCAGCAGAACTTGTCGCTGCTCCTTTACCTTATGCGCATGGTCAGAGCCGTTTTGGGAAACCATCGCTTCAGCTTGTTGCAATATGTGAGTATTCGGTTCTGAGGAATAGGATAAGCTGAAGAATGCATCTGTTGCATTGCAGCTTCACCTGCTCCTGCCGGCCGTTCTTTCCTGCCTGTTGGCTAAACAAGTGTGCGCATCTCCTGACGTGGAGGATCACTGGGCCTTGAGGGAATACTCCGGAAACATAATGGCCCATATAGGACGCCAGTTCAACGCTGCCGACAACAGCATCCTGCCCAGAGTCATTGGGCAAGTACTCATCTTGTGTGTGGGTTCCATGATCATTTTTGAATTCCGTTTATCCCTTTAAATTATTTAAGAATTCATGATCATACCATTTTATTGGCTAGAACTACATTCTTCACTATTGCCCCTTATAAAGCCAGTTAGAAAAATATAAAGATTAGTGTATTAAACACTATTTTAAAAAGTTGTTTAAATTAAAAACAACTCCGCAGTTTTAACTGGCTTCTGTGGCCACTCTTTAGAGGAATAAATTACCTTTTACTCATTACTCGTAGAAGGAAGCGCTTCCGTTCCTATAATATATATATAATCTTAATCAGGATCACAAGCTGAGTGGATCTGCTCAAATATGCCGGATTGTCGGGATTTCGGCTACCATAAGAGATAGAAAGCTGAGATTAGGCATAGGCGTAGTGACGCAAACGCAGCACAAGTTCATTTCACGCCCACTATAATAACGCCTATAGCGCTAAAGTCTCTTGCACCCACGTGCCTAATGTCCGAAAATTGTCATATATGTACATATCAATAAGTGCTTAGCTCAATGATACGCATCTACGTGCTAGAAAGTTTATTAAACAGAAGAATGCACTCCTCACCCCTCTCCTCCTTGCATGCAATCTACATCGCTTCCGCTCGTTGATTTATAAATATCCATTTATATCCTAGGGTTTACAAAAAGGCGCTGTTGATGAAGCCACTGACGACGGTCTTTGGAGCAGTCATTGGCCTGGGAAAGATGGGGAATTACGCAGTGCGCGCCTGCATTGTGCCTCAATTAAAGTATCTATCTGAACACATCCAGCCACACATGACCGCCAGTAATGGCTCTTCCAGCTCCAGCCTAGACAAACAGGCAGCTAAGTACATTCGCCATCGGGTGGTGAAGATGTGCACTCCCGTGCTGATGAGCTTACATCAACCACCGGATCTGCCGGAACAGTATTTGGACAAATATGGATCTTTGGGCCCACCGTTGAGCGATTCCGTCATCGTGACGCGTATGAAGTTACAAGCAGTGGCTGCAGCCAAGGCGGAAGCAGAAGTGGCGCTAAGAAAAATGGCTGCAGAACACCATTACTCCAGAGTGGCAGGAGCTCGACATGTCGGCTCCAACGGTCTTATCCCTGGCAGCCAGCTGCCCAGCAATGGTGTTCGTCACACGAGCCAAGCATCGCAATCAATTCTTTCTATGAATGGACAAACCGTCAATACCCCGACGAAAATTCCATGCAATCCAATGCTTCAGTATCAGAAGCAGGCCATCGTTTCCAAGCCATCGGACTTCGTGGTTCCTCAATCGGTGCAATTCAGAAACGTTGTTATCCCGCCCACTTCCCAGCGCTCCATTTCGCCATCCAGGAACGGAATAGTTTTAAAGCCAAACAACGTTTGTGTTATTCCACCCTTCATAAATGGATTTGTTCCTACGCCATGCAATAATGGCAGAATGTCCATTAATTACTTACTTCAATAGCCGATCTCTGTAAAAATACTTATAACTTTGATATTAATAAGCTTTTCATTTTAATTTTAATTTTTTTGCGGTCCTTGAAAGGCCTTGAAGCCTTAATAAAAACATCAAAACCGTACAATCAGTAAAATTTGTCTTTAAAATTAGTAATAAGAATAAACCGCGCGTATTCCGAGTTGAAATAAACTGCAATTGTAAATAATAGCTCATTGGAAAATGTAACCAAACCAACAACCATTTTTAAAATCAACGTTAACAAACCAGCAAAGCAGATTACCAAAATATCGTACGCGCCATGACCAAAAAGAACGAAGGAGCATTTTTCTGAATTTTTTTCCGATTATTTCTAATGCTATATGATATAGTGGTCTGATCCGGGCCATACGGTTTATGTTCATACTACCTGTTGATACCGATCAAAAAATGGATGTATGTACAATACATATGTACTTTAAATGGTCTGCAATTATCATCTTGTTAAAAAGACCCTTCATTCGGTTTGTTTGTCTTTCTGCAACAAAACTGTGATTTAAAATCGTAACATATTTCTTTTTAGATCAATAACGCGATATTGGGAAACCTGCTAGTCTAGCGGGGAAATTGATATAAATTGATAAATTTTCCATGCCCATAACTTCTGATCTTGTTGAGACTTGTTATATATCTAGTTGAATAGGAGGTTCAAAATAAAAAAATGCGTTAGGAGTTAATAATTTTACGTAAAAAAGTGGATATCAGTATTTTGTATGTTGGAGGTACTAGTTGTTACTAGTTTTAACCTAGTTAAGAGGTCAGTCAGTTTAATAGCCTACAAATTTGTTTTAAAATTTTTAATTTTATCAATATATTGGCATTTGCAATACAATATTTTAATATAATAATAATGTAATATAATATGTTGTAAGTTATAAATACTTAGTGCCTCATAAATAATCAACCGTACAATAAGAAAATTATACTGTAATCAAATTCGCCTCTGTTACCCCACTGTGCAGCGTAACATTTTGCAAAAATGGCGAAGTTGTAAAAAATGTACGGTATTTTCATTTGTTAGTCGTATATTTGTTTTTGTCTCCTGACATATGGGCCTATGTAGGTAACAAAATTTAAAAGGTAAAAGTGTATATTAACTCTTATTAGACTTGCGATTTCAGCCCTTGTCAACCGTCTATCGACACTGACGAGCCATCGTAGCCATCGGTCACTTGCACTCCCATCCCCAGCAAAGTGTGCCCCAGGGGTGCATTGAAAAGAGCGTATGTGTATTGTTTGTCTGGTCGCTCAATAAAGACGAGAAACGGAAAAACGAAAAAACGCCGCTCTGCGATCTCGCGAATCGCCTCTACGATGCGTACACAGTGCGAGGCTCCAGCAATTTGATATTAGTAGCGAGGTAAAAGCCAGTTGTAACTCAAAACCGACAACGACAACACAAAACTCCTTGAGGGCGCAGTGCTTATAGGTGTGCGTGTGCGTCTCGTCGCGCGTGCAAGTGTGTGTGTGCGGCAATTAAACAATAAGAATCTCTGGGACAGAGGCGTGGGGCTGGATTACTGACAGGGGCACTCCAGTACAGTGTCTACTCATGGGCGTGGAAACGCACACTTGGGGACCCCATCAACGCAAGCGAAGCGCGAAATTGGGCGCAGGTCGTGGTAGGTGGCTGAGGTGGTTGAGGTGGGCAGGTGCCTCTCCAGCAGGTGAAACTCGAGATTCCAGGCGGAACTCGTTTCGACCCTCTGCAGCTACAGCTAATTTGTAATTGGTAACTCGAAAAATTCGTTGGCGTATGTACGGGCAGATGTTCAGTGCGTGGAGCTGAAGAATCCCATGCAGTGTAGTTTTGTTTACATCTGGACTCTCCACTCTGAGTCGCTTGGAATCTAAACTATTCTCGCCATTACACATGCGCCAGTGGACTCAATTAGATCATTAATTTCAATATTGCGCGCTCTTGTGCGATTTCAATTAGCTTCGTCAGCCATTAAAGTAACCGTAGTCAAGTACTTCGTACTAGCTGATTTTAGCAAAAGAATCTTTAAAAGAATCCAAGTTTATTAGAAAAGGAATCAGCGTAAGAGTGTTTTTCTTAGCACGAGGCTTGGAAGTAATACCTTGTCAAAGGGTATAAGTATGAATTGAATAATTGAAAAAGCTTCTGAAAAAGTGTTACATTTCTTATAAAAATAGATTGATATAGAATTTCAGCATACAGTTTTTATTGATTTCGATTGAAATTCTTAATATATCTCAACTATTGAAATATTGTATAACAAATGGGATTTATAATACTTTTGATCACAAGAGTCTCTAATAGAGGCTTGTTTTTGTAGTTTTTGTAGCAAGCAAAGTGAGCAAATATAGTAGTAGTACAAACATTAGTGATTACATTTCAACTATTTATTTCCCAATGCCAATCCTAAGTAGTTCCTGTTTTTTACAGATTGTATTCATTAATATCAAAAATGGACGCAATACAAGAGTGAAAGGCGGCGCCCAACTACCATGCCGATGTCCCTTCAAACTGCCTCGATTCCACCGCCGGCTGCTGTGCCTGCCACTTTGTCGGTCAGTGCATCCGGCACTCAAATGCCGCGCCCTCAGTCTCTGGCCGGTCCCGAGCGGGAGCCTATCGAGTTTAACATCAACCTGGTGGGAGCTCCTCCAGAAGTGGAGCAGCTGGTGGAGCAGATCAAGAGCGTGGCTGAGCAGTTCCTCTACCACTGGAAGAGCTTCCCCATTGGTGAGTTTCCATAAATATTTCGGTGATCCACGATACTAACCGAGTTCTATTTCAGTTTTGCCTCAGCCGCTGGCTAGCAGTGGTCTGAATTTGACGGCGAGGAACGCCACCAATAGCGTGAGCAGCCGCAAAACGCGTCCCATTAATCTGCGCGACCTCTTTATAGCGCCTCCCTTTGACGAGCTGGACGCCGTGGCATCTGACGGGAGTGGAGAGCCCCGCCGGCTGACGAGCGCCCAGCTGAAGACTCTGCGGGAAACTGGGTGAGTTTGCGGTCACGAGACAGCGCCGTTTATTTCGATGATGGATAGATTGATGGATGACGGATGTTGGATGGAGCGACGTGCTAGCAAAATATGCAAAAAGGGCAATTGTTCAGCTAGCAATTAACAATATGCTGATTAAACGCGCTTTGGCCACATAACCACACCTGATAGTGATTACATTCGTTTTTTTGAGTTTTATTACCATTGCCAAACATTCAGCGACACTTTGCACACAGCAAACGCAAAAATCAAATTAAGGCATGCTCCAAATCTATCTCAAAATTAATACGATACTAGCTACCGTGGTCTGTTTATTTGTTTTCTAACCAATCTAAACGCATGTCCCACTACAATTGTTTTTATTTCTGTGTATCACTTGCCAATGAAACATGAAACGGTAAACAAAAATTTGTGACATATTTCTGTAAAGCTTGCAAAAGGATAAATATGGAAAGCCGAAGAAATTAACTTTGGAACAATTGGAAACAATACGTAAAAATGGGTAAATAAATACTATCAAGAAGGCATTTACAATAGCCAAGGCAAACTTCTGCCACTGCATTCAAATTTGTTTAGTCGGTGTTTTTTGTTTGTACATTTTCCTTTTATAATCGATGTTGATTGTTTAGATGTTAAGTCTTATCCAAAGCCGCTCTGATAAATTTGCATGCTCGTAAATATGAAACTAAAGCCCATAAGCGAATCTGCATGTTCAGAAACACACAAAATATTTAGGGGAAAAGAAGACAATCCATTGTTGCACATTTGGGTTGCTGATGACTATAGCTATTCTTCGAAACGAGTTCTTTGCAAGAACAAACAGCCTTACCCCAAAGCACACTCACTTTCTCACACAAACATTTAAACATATGTATAATATTCACCTAGAATCGGGCAAACCATAATTTTGAATCTGGTACACGCTTGTGCATGCCGACTATTTGTCATTAAACTAAAATCTAGATAATTTAAGTGTTTTATGTTGCTGTGACCTTCCAGTCGTGGGTAGCTCAATAGCTAATTGATTTCCCTGTTCCTCCACAGCGAGTTCGATGTGCCCAGTCTTCACTTTCCTGGTCAGGTGCATAAGTGGCGTCTGTCTCAACTACTCCAGAAGGGCAAGTTGCGGGCGCAAGACTCTTTTCTGAGCGATCTGGCGCTGGCTGCCCGGTTCGTGGTGGTAACTGCCCGGGCTCGCATACTCTCCCACTTCTTTTCGGTAGCGCAGGCTATGCACGGCTTGTTGGAGGCGTTCACCAGACTTGCAGACATGTTCATTGGTGTGCCGGCTCTTTTGGCCCATAACCTGGACTATAAGATTAAGGAGGAGCGTTGCCGATTTCTCATAGCCGAGCTGGTTTGTCGGGTAAGACACTTTTAACTGGTATTGATATTGCAGACCGGCTTTATTTATTTTATTTACTTATAAAACTATAAGGTAACTGAGAACTAAGAGCATTAGCAGCTAAGAACATTTACAGAGTGAGAGAAAAATGTAGTTTTATATCTTACGAATTAGGTTGGAGCTTAGCAAAAAGGTTATAATTTTGTTGATGTTATCGTTCGTTGGGTTAGCACGGTTATTGGTAATTGGGTATATTGATTATTAGTATATTTAAATCGTGCAATTTGTTTTAAATTCATCTTTTAATCTAGTAAGATCATGGGGAATTTTTGGCCACTATTTTTTACACATACTGACGTCACTGATTTTGTCAAATTCGTTTATCCATTATGTAAACTCTACTTAATATTGCTTTATATTAATAAATAATTATGTAAATCATAAATGATTTATTTTTAGTCCGAGTACGAGGACTGTTTGCACGGCCTGTGCTCCTATGTCCGGAAGATGCTGCGTCGCGCCACGATGGAAAAATTCGACTTCAACAGCTGCGAGGTCAGCCAGCCCGTGCCGTACCTATTCCTCACGCCCAAGGGACAGGATATCGACTTGCGCCTCTTTTGTCGCGACATTATGCGCAAGGCACTTCCAATTCTAATTGGCATTCTGGAGAGGGAGACGCGAGGCTGGTTTCTGCATTTCCGCGAGCGTTTGATTGCCGAGTTGCGGGCCAAGAAACTGAACGACAAGGAGATCGAGGAGGAGGTGAACGAAGCTGTCATGAAGGAGTATCTGCAACGCGTCTATAGCTCAATCGTATCCAATGCGAAGCTGGCAGAGCTGGGAGCCGGAGTGCCGGAACTCCTGGTGCAGCAGGCACAGTCGGTGGTAATCATGTACAAGGCTGTAGACAAGGTGGAGCAGAATATCAAGCGGATTCGTGAGGACCACAAGAAGTGTCTGGCCAACGACCATTCCGTGTTGTCGCGCGTTGCTCCCTGGTTGCGCTCCAAGCTACGCCACGCTGAAGAGAATCGCCTCCACAAAAGCGCCTGGTCAGCCCACGAGGAAGCGCTGAAAATGTGCACCCAACATAATCTGCACCAAACAGCATACTTCCTGTCCCGTGACCTGACCTTCATGAAGGAACGCGAGCCAGTACTGCTTAAGGAGCTGAAGAACGCTAAGACTCCCACGCGCAGCTTTCAATGGGCGTGTCGCATTTGGTCGCCGCAGTCGTGGATCATCCGTCGCAACTTCCAGGGGCAGTCTGACGTGATTCCCACTGTGATTAGCCAGCATGCCACTAGCATTGTCACTCCCCGCTCGGATCCTAGCCAGCCGGTGTTTCTGGTGGAAAAGGAGATACTGCGCACAACAAGCACACGCTGGCCTTTCTGGCGCCTACTAAACATGATCCAGCGAATCTGGTGCTGGTCTTGGAACATGATGTTCCTGCTTGGCATACTAGTTCCGTGGTGCAGTCCACTCGGATTGCGCGCCCTCTGCTGTGTGAAGCCTTTTATGCCCGACCTTGAGCTGTCCCAAATCAACGGCACTCTGTTTCCAAGAAAGACCAGCATAACTCAGACTCTGGCGTCACGTCTAATTGAGTTATGGCGTCATATATCAAAATCGCGTACGCACTTTGAGACAGAACCTGACACGGGTAAGCTTTCACTTTAAATGCTAAGATCATACTTCACAAAACTGAATGTTATATAATTCTTTCAAGGCTTTATTGGAAAGGGACTGACACGAAATCTGAATCGAACTTGGAACTATTTTATAAAAGGATTTCTAGGTACGATCGTCATTTTATTCGCCTTCCCCCTCATCTGTTTGGCCACTAGTTTGCTGAGCATAAGTCTGGCTGTGACTGCGCCCCTATGGATTCCAGTGTTTGTACTCCTACTCCACATCTACATGATCCTCATATATGATTTGGATGCGCCTGATAATATGAAGAATCGATACTGCATCTTACTGGAAGCCATAGTTTGGAATCTTCTCATACAGGGATTGATGCAGCCGGTGGCGGCGATTCTAATGGCCACGTTGATCTGTCCATTGGCAGCAGGAGTCGTTTTTATAGGTGCGTAGCCTTTTCATTTAGAATTTTAAATTTTAAATTAAACGCTTTCAAAATCTCTTTTAGTTGGAGTCGTTCGGTATTCCGTACGGCTGGTGTGGGACTCTCTTACCTACCATCTGTTCATCAAGAAGTGTGGACGTGTACCGGCCTCGGATAGCATTGCTGTAAAACGAATTGCTGGACCTGGACTGGCATTAGACTATTATTTTATAATCAGACCAGAGCAGGCTTTGGCTGCGCTGGAGGCGAAAATGGAACTGGACGAGTTGCAGGCCTACCAGCATGCCACGGAACGAGTGGTTCTGCAGCCACAGCAGGACTTCCTCCAGTTTGTCGAGGCTTGCTTTGGGCCGTTTTCAGCCCAAATCAGTAAAACTGGTCCATACCTATCGCTGGACCGGGAGGCGCACGATCTGATGAGTACGCTACACGAGAAGTTAGAGAAGCGACGAAGGGAGTTGCAGACCGCGCTGACCACCCAAGTCAAATCGCGCATAAAGTTAAATACCAAAGAATTAAAGGTTTGTGCTAGGAATTTGTATTGTACATCCAACTAATTTGCTTTCCTTAAGATTGCTATACAACTGGCCGCCCATATTTTAGAGAAATATTATCCGTCTCATGTCATCGGCAGACTGTCCATTAGCGAAGAAGAATTCTGGGATAATAAGGTATGAAGATCTTATCAAATCTGTTAAACTACACTGATAAATTCGGTTACTATTTCCAGGGTCTCACGGTAAACGACTGGCCGGGACTGGCTGGTCTTATATACACCGACATATTTAGTCTAGATTTTCTAACGCCATTGACTGAACACGATACACATTTTAAACTAGAACCACATGCCTCGCTCGACCTGATGCGTTATACGGAGATGGTGAAGAATGCTAACGACGTAATTGGCTCCAAGGGCTTGGATCTGCTCGGCAATGTGTACGCGCCGCGTGGCAACGTCCAGGTGCACCTGCCCTTCCTCGAAGTGACTGCATTCAATCCACGCTCCCGCATAACGCTCACTTTTCGCAAACCCGAAAAAAGGTAAGACATTTTGAATACTTATTAGATTAACCGATTATAGTGCGATTCTTAATAGGGATATGTCTGTGGGATTGACCACCCCGAGGGTCCGTGCCCACCGTGCCCAGCATGTGCCGAAGACTTTACAAGATGCCCAGAAGTCCTGGCGACCGTGGAAGCAGCAGTGCGAGGAGAAGAGCGTTACGGAAAACCTGCTCATTCCGTTGCCAGTGCCCCATCCCGTGCACATTGCTATTGCCATTTACAATCGCGACACCGAACAGCCCATCCCCTTGGACTCGGAGTTGGTCTGGGAAATCCTTAAATCGATAGAGGACTGCCAAGGCGGCGATGCCATGGTATGTTTTTGGTTCCTGGTGAAATGATTATGATTCATACAACATTATCACACTGTTCAGGCTGTCCAGGCTGTGGCGCGGTATCGAGGAGCGGTCATTGAATCGAGCAATGACTCCCTGGCTAGCAGCAGCAGCATTGGCAGTACTCGCGACTCGGGCTCAGGTTCTGTTTCGGGCTCTGCATTGGCCAACGGCACAGAAACCTTACCGTGCGGCAATCGTGAGGTAATTTTTATTTAAAATCGTATTACATTTGCATCGAAATATTAAATATTTGGGTTGGATTAATTGAATCCGCAGGTCTGCACCCAGGTCAAGGTGGATACCGAACCGGCTGCAAGCTCCTCTGGTTTCCATTGGACTCTAAGCAATTGGGGCGCTGCGCAAACGGCACGACGCCGAACCAACTCGAATGTTCGCGTGGACTTGGCCAGTCCCGAAGATATATCCTTGGATACGGATAGTTCGCGTGCCGTTTTTAATAACGCGTACGGTACAACTGTCTAAAAGGCTTCATTGGCTTGGGCACACAAGAATATATAAACCTATCAACTCATGTAGATTTTTCGTGGCTGCTCGCTGTTAAGATAAAATTGTCTAACCCGTTTTATCGAATGAAATCTCGAATATGGTCTTAGTAACGCGATGTTTTAAAAAGGGATCCGATTGTTCAGAAAATGAGTTCGAATCTTAATTTGAAAAAAAATACATCTAGAGAACTTTCGGCAGTGTACGGGAGCACTTGTGAACAAATTCCAGGGAACAATCGTAAATACTTAAAATGTTTTCCCCTTCTCAATATGAAATCCAAGGCAGCCGCGCTAAAGTGTAATAAGAACAAATTTATCTAACTATATTTACAGTATATGATATACATATATGATTCGGTAATCTACACCGCATAGGCAAGTCGAATAGTAAAAAATGCAATCTAGTCGCAAGCAAATTTTATGCAGCAATCTAATTCGTTTTCTTATGCAATTATAGGCATATTCTAATCGAAGCTTCATGACAGTTTTACATCCGAGTTTAGTTTATTGCGATATCCGTTCTAAAAGCAAATACAGAAAAATACTTATTGATTAGGTATACAACATAAGCCATGAGATTTTTCTTTGTACCTAACCAACATAAACACATTTAAGGTAAACTTCATATTAGAAATATACCACGAATTGTACCATGAGCAGTTAAACGAATATTGTTGATTAATTACTAATTTATTTATATACACGCAAACTAACAAAATACTAATGTTTTATCGACTCCAATACTTTTTCTTCCAAATCCGAAACGCAAAATAATAAAAGTGAGTAAAACAATGCAATAGAATTGCAATGTTGCAAGAAAACATCAATCGAAATCATAGATAACAGCATTAAAATATTTCAGCGTGAAGAATTTTTACAGAAATATAATAAACAAGGCCAAGGATAAAACATTTTTACATTTATATATACGTATTTAGATCACATAATCGTAACAAATAACTGTTGATACCTTTGTATCGAACATTTTCCAACCTGGCTCACCATGCTAATTTCCAATTCGACTCCATCCCCAGAGCAACATGCCCTCCAAGTATTTCTCATACATAATTGTGAACAAAATATGTTAACTGCCACAAATATAGGTATTACTTTTTCTTCAATCCACGCACTGCTCACTATCAATTCAACATTTTATATCGCATTGGCCGCCTCCAGTGTTATATTTAAGCCGTTTAACTGATTTTGTAAACTTTGTATTATTTAAATGTCGTAATGCAAGCACCAGCAATGGAATGAATCTTTACACACAATATACAAACATTTACATAAATATGTAGTTATACAAATTAACCGATGGAATCTCCGAAAACGGTAAATCTCATGAAAATGCATTCAACAATTTTATGTAAAATGTTTCTTAATATTAATGAAAAATGTATCAATGAATTATGAATGAATGTGTGCTCTCAACTTTATAAGCAATGTTTAGATGCAGGAATTTGGAAAACAAAAAGTGTTACTAACGACGCTTGTAGAGTTGCAAGCACAATAATAGTTTAATATGTAATAAAAATGTTGGCTAAAAATTATCCACATACTGTTTGTCTTTATTTGGAAGATTGTTTATATGCGGAAACCAATGAATGAATATAAATGTAAGTCAAAAATGTTAATTTGGTAATAATATATTTATTGTATTTATTTCAAAGATATATTCCATTTTACTTGTAAAGATATAAAGATTTACTTAACAATAGTGTAGTTTTGCTTAGGATGTATACTCTAACTGTTAGCTTAAAACGAATTTAACCAACACAACTCGTTTCGAGTACTAAGTAAATCATTCAGAAATTAAAAACGGAAAATATAAAAAGGTAATCACAATATTTAGATTTTTCAAGTATGCTTGTATTTTAAACTTATCAAAAGTGATTCATACAGTATTAACAATTAAATAATATATTTAATTTAATACAAGAAAAATATCCTTTAAAATTGTATTGAGGTCGCTCAGCAAACCTTTTTAAGTTAATTACATAGGTCTAGATTCTAGCTTCAGGTATTACAAAGTCATCAAGGAGAGTTAAGGTTAAGACTCTTAAGGTTGTCAAAAAATGCCTAACACGCCCACTAATTAACATGTTAACAGCCCTAAGTTCTCTGAGTCAGCTTACTACATAATAATGTACTCCATTTGTTCAAATTGTAGAATTTTATCGAGCAGGATATTTGAGAAAATGTAAGTGTGCGTTTTGGAATTCGAATCTAATACAGAATGATTTTTGGTATTTACTCGGGGTATTCTACGATTCTTGGAGATTTAGTTTTTTGAATACGTATACTTGTTCATCCCGCATTGAATATATTGAAACGGGATTACCAAATATTCCAATGGGAATGAAATGGGATATTGGGACAAATGTGGCGAGGGGAGCCATTTCTTTTGGGTTCACATTTATTTACCAAAACGATGTGCCCAAACTAGTATTCTATTCTATTTCTTACAGACTCACTGAAAAGGCAGGAGGCTGTTGGCCGTTGTGTTGAGCAACCCCAACCGCTGCTTCTGCTTCCGCTGCTCTGTCATATGATCCTTAAGTTCGTGTAGTTGGGTGGACAGGTTCTTAATGAGAAGTTGGGTGTCCAAAAGCTGTGCCTGCATGCTGCGCAGCTCGATTTGCTCCCCGTCGGCATCCACAGCTGCCAGCGACATGGCGCGCAGGCGGGGGAACCACTCCAGGATTCCGGCCTTGACCATCGCATATACATAGCTCTCGGGACCGGTGAACTCAGTGGGGTCCTTCACTTTTACAAGGACGATGAAGTACAGATAGTGCCACATGTTGTGCTCGCTCTTTATGTGCTCTTCAAAGCTAACAGTTTTGTTGTCGAACGCCGATCTATTGAGTGAGCAGATGAAACAGGTTGTCTTCAGGATGGCTTCCTTTTGCTGCTTCTCCGATCTCAGGTCGGCGAAGGTATCGATGATGACACCAAATATCAGGTTTAACACAATAATGATGACAATGAAGAAAAAAAGCAGGTCGTAAATTACACGTGCCACAAACAAGCCCTCCTAAAAATATACAAATTAGCAGTGCACTTTGAGACTTCCGGATGGATTTTACCTTGCTTGAAGGCGCCCTGAGTATGTCACCAATGCCGCCTCCATTTCGCAAACCCTGGTTAAGAGTGGTTACTATGCACATGACCAGCGAGTCGCACGAACGCTCTTTCACTTCCCCGACCCCAGAACTCGGTGGTGCCACGTCCTGGGCTGCCTGGCAGTTTCCCAAGTCATCTGGAGCAGAACAGGTATCTCCCGATAGCGGCACAGATAGAGTTAAAGGGACTGACGGAGGAGGAGGCGAATTGTCTTGCTCCTCAAAGTCCACGCTGACCAGAAAGTCATCCTTGAAGAACATGTAGCCAATGATCGAGAACAGGTAGACCAGAATCAGAGCCAGGACAGCTGTCAACACGATAGAGCGACCGTTGCGGGTTACGGATCGAATTACATTGACCAGGGTCTCCTCCCGATAGACCACATCGAAGAGCTGTAAAAGCATAGGTAATATACATTTCCTTTTGCACAAAATGGATACATCTTACCAGCAATGAGTAGAAAAAGGGATGAAATATCAGACCGCAAAAGCAAAATGCTATATAAATGCAATGGTAAAGTAACTGAAAGTCAGTTATTATTTTAATTAGCTGCTTCTCCAGAGTGCCTTTGTTGCCCATAATGCTCACTATGTGAACGCTTTTGAGGGTCACCTATTTGAAAGAATCCACGTAAAAGAGATTTGTGGGCAGATATAGTACCTTGTACATACCGTGACGACTCCCAGCAAGCAGAGTGTAGACTCCGGGCCCAGTAAAAAGATAAATCGAAGGATGACGGAGCCTATAAAGGTTCTGATTCCAGACTCCCGGGGTAGCGTCAACACAATAACAAGTGAAAATATCGTTATGATCCAGAACAACAAGGAGATATGGGAACTGAGCTCTGAAACATATGACAAAGAAGGGTTTTAAGTGGTTTTGATGAAGGCATCCAATGGTCTCACCTGGCACAGTGTTATCAAAGGGATAGAAGAAGGCCACAATCATATTGATGACGACAACACAGTTGAAGAGGATATTGCTCCAAAGAGACATGTAACTGCTTATCCAAAATAGTAAAGGTTGACCTATCCATTTACAAAAGAGCGATTATTTAACTTGTAGTTCTAGGTCAATACAAAGGTGGCTTACTTCTCAGCTTCTTTTGCCATTTCATCTCGTTAAACATTTCCTCTGCTTTGTCGAAGAAGTCCGCCACCTTGGATCCTTGGTCGTCGCGTTCTGCGGTGTTGAGGATTTTAATTTTGGTGTCTGTGGTCAGGTACTCACAGATCTCGGGAATGGGAAAGACTATCTGCTCCAGAGTGCGATCGTTTCTAACAATCTGCATATATATTAAACTTAGACGTAGGATATAGGGATAAAACCATGCCGTATCTCACCTCTATCTGGGCAGTGTGCGTGGCGTAGTACATCAAGGCCTGACTTGTCTTGGCGTCGAAGCTGGCGGACTGCGGATCCTCGGAAGCTTTGAGCAGGCTGGCCAACTCCTTATTGTGCTGAGCCAGCTGGTGGCACAGTATGTATATGTTGTGGCCCACCTCCCGCGGACTTACAGTGGCATCGTCATCGTCCGACCCGGCATCCGGCTCATCCCCATCGTCCTGCTCGTCGATCAGCTCTTCCTGGTGGTACGCCTTGCAGGCCACCTCTACCAGTTGCTTGGGATTCATGTTGTACAGAATGCGTTCCGCGTTTTCGCTGTCCCCCCGACTCTCCATAATGGCCAGCAGCAGCTTGGAGGCATTGTTCTTCAGCTCTAGGACCAGATCCATGCGGTTCTCGCCCAGCGGATTGATATTGTTCAGAATAAGCGCCGTGATGATGTCCAGCCCATTTGATTCGTGGGTGGCTATGCAGTTCTGGTTCTCGTGACACGGTCCTTGGCAGTATTCCGTGAGGGCCTCCAACGTCTGGTTGATCAAGGCCACATTGTGCTCGTTTATGTACAGGCCTAGTAATCCCAAGCCGCCCGTCGTCGAGCCACAAATGCAGTCCAGGAACATAAGCGTCTCCGATACCAGGTTGTTGTTGGTCTTGTTGTTCTGGTTCCTCAGCAGGTTCTGCATGTCCGGATTGTGGTTTTCGCAGAGCAACTGCAGGAACCGTAAGATAGGTTGCATGACCAGCACCTTGTTGGACAACTGGTTGCGCTGATCCCGACTGTCTTTGTGCTTTTCCAGCTTCTCGGCCAGTATATCCTCCAGCGGACTGTTAACAGTGATGGCGGAGCTTTCCTCGCCGGAGTGGATGTTTCGGGCATTCCCGTAGGCACGGGCAGTTGCCAGTCCGGCATTGTGTAGTTCCCGCTTTAGTTCCTCAGTGATCACCACCCCGTTGCTCTTGAGGCCGTGCTTGCGAGTGATCTTGTCTAGCTCTAGATTGGCATCCTGTTTGTGCTCGTGGGCCTTAGCCGCAATGTCCGTGGTGTTCACAGTGACAGTGGACTTGATCTCCTGCTGTGCATCCTTCATCTTCTCAAAGAAGACTTTAAAGAAGGCCTGGTTGAGGTCGTCACTGAGGAACTTCTGGAACATTCCCTTCTGTATAATGGGGTTGCCGCCTTCAAGAAGTGCGATGCCCAACTCTACAGCCTCGACAAAAATATTGGGCGAATGTACGGACTTGATAACCAGCTCGACCACAAGATCTGAGGCGCCTTCTCTGTCCAAGTGGTTCTGCATATCGTGAAGCGTTTTGCCCGCTCGCTGCAAGTACTTAGCCCCAGGTCCGTGGGTCACTAGGTGGTTTTGCTTTGCGGGATCCATCAAAGGAGCGGCCAGCAGAGCAACCTCCTCCTCCGGCAGCCTGGGCGTGTTTTTGCTCTGGAAGTAGCGCAGCAAAAGTGTTTGTCGCAGTGCATCGCCCTTCTCGCCGTAGTTCACATCAATAGCCATCATTTCACGCAGAGTGCGCAGAACCTTTACACACATGCGCTCCTCCTTCTCCTCCAGCAGCTTCTCGGTGTGCTTTATCAGCTTCCGGATGAAACCACCGCTTTCGCAGCGCTTCCGGGCCTCTGTTCCAGCGGGAAAGAGCAGCTCTGAGCGGTACAGAATATCCACTAGAAGCGATAGTTCCGCCTCAACCACCGGCTTTAGTTGATCCTCCAAAAGGGACACTATGTCCTGCAAGCCCTCGATGATTGAGCGATCCCAGCGCATCAGACTGGCCGCTTGCTGAGCCTCGTACTTGGGCTGCTTGGAGGCCAGCAGCCATTTTGTGGTCTGCCGGGTCAGCATAGCCGTCTTGCTGGACATTGTGGCCACCTGCTGCTCCAGCTCGGGGGGTATTGCGATGCTACGCATTTTGGCCGACTCTGTTAGCGTGCGGATGCAGTTTTCCACGTTGAAACGATCTCCCAGCGACAGCCAGCGGCACTGGGTGATTCTGTGCGCAGCCTGTAGCAGCTGCACGAAGATCAACTGGCGGGACTGCACGATAGCACTCTGATCCGAAAACGGACTGGCGAAGAAGCTGCCCAAGAGATTGGTTACCCCATTCAGGACGTACGCCTGGAGCGTCTTGTTGCTGGCGGCGGCGGGGTTCGTGATGAGCTGGTTGATGTCCACCAAGAAACTCTTCTCGAATAGGCTCCACATGTGCCCGGAGGAGTAGATCTCCTTCATCTCGACCTCCGTGTCAATGTAGCAGTGGTTGAGGAAGTCCACGTAGGCTTCCTTAACCTCCGGCATGCACAGCGGGTGGCAGATGATTGTCACTATGTCGTCCAGAGAGAGAAGGTTGTTGCACTTAATCTCCGTGTAGACGTTTTTGCCCATGGTGCAGCAAGCCAGGAGCTTCACCAGCTCGACGTGGTATTTCAAGGGGCTGTCGTCGCTGAGCTTTTCCATACTCAGCATCTGTTGTTGCATCATCTGAACAAAGTGGTTGAAGGAACCCTTGTCATTGTAGAAGACCAGCACATCCTCGCCGGAGTTGATGAGCTCCTGCATCACCATGTCCTGGCAGCGTCGGATGAACTGGTTCTCCGCCCGCACTATGGTCTGCAGAAACTGCAAGTAGGCTACGTGGCGACCATGAATCTCTATGCAGTGTACGAAGTGCTGCACCACCTTGTCCGTCACCTCGTTGCACAGCGCCAAGTTGTCCTTGAAGATGGCGCACACGGTCTTCGCCTCCAGAATCTGTAAGGCCATCGATATGATAAAAAGCGAACATTTCAGGTGGGGGCATGGTACACTATCAATTGCAATTTTATTTAATAAAGGCATATTATATATAATAATATTAATATATATTATATAATATTAATGTATATTAATATTTATATATATTTATATATTTTTATATTAATATTATATGTATTATTATATATATTAATAGAAAAGTTAACCTTTCTTTAGTGAACGGTGAACCGCTACTCGTAGAGGAAAGGGTATACTAGGTTCGTTGAAAAGTATGTCACAGGTAGAAGGAAGAGCTTGTGACCATATAAAGTATATATATTTTTAATCAGGGTCATTAGTCGAGACGATCTGGTTATGTCCGTTTGTCCGTCCGGCTGTCCGTTCGTCCGTATGAACGTCGAGATCTCAGGAACTAATTAAGTTATAGGTTGAGATTAGGCATGCAGTTTCCCGGGACATACCGCACCAAATCGAAAGAAATTGAATAGACTAATTATAAAATGAAAAAAAAGTGTCAGTTTTGAGGGGTTCGTGGGCGTGGCAGGAACATTTTTGGCGTACCGATTGAAATTGACGGGACAAACAATAAAATGAAAAAATTTAATTTATATTCAAAATTGTGGGCGTGAAAGTTTTCTGCGGTTTGTGGCCGTGGCAACATCTGTCCACAAGCTTGCGCTGCGTCTATGTGTCCAAAATCTGCATGCTTAATCTCAACATTTTAGCTTATATAGTTCCTGAGATCTCGACGTCCTTACGGACGGACAGACGGACATGGCCAGTTCGACTCGACTATTGATCTTGATCAAGAATATATGTACTTTATATGGTCGGAAACGCTTCCTTGCTTTTACTCTACGAGTAACGGGTATAATTATACAAATGCATAGATATTTGGAATTTGCTAGCATACCCTACTACTGCGCCTAAATAAAATATAAAATAGGCTTTTATATCGCAGCGTTCGTTCTTGTGGAATACATACATGCGAGTTTGTGATATAATAGGGAAAAAATAAGGAACTTACGCCCGGATTGAGGAACAGATCAAGGTGGTTGTGGAGCAAGGCCTGGTTCTGCTGATTGCCCAGACAGAAGTTCTGCAGGAACTCGTGGGCCAGGCACATGAGCTCCTTCATCAACTCGTCGTCCTTCTCGTCGTAAGGGTTCTGGAGGAGATCGAGGACGACGGTGTGGACGCCAACATTGCGGAGCAGTCGTTGCTCATGCTTGCGTGGCTTGACCACCGAACCCGGACCGGAGGCAGTTACGCAAAACTTGTTCATGCGTATGAGAATCTCCTTGACCTTGCGGTACTCGTTCCGCTGCTCCTGGGACAGGGCGGCATTGTACTCCAGGCTGACAGCATCTCCCCCGGCGTCGTTGGCCCCCAGTTCATCCGTGGCCTTCGCCTTGTACACCCACAGCTCCGACTTCTCCACGCTCTGGCGCAGGATATCCAGATCGGACTTGATTTGCTTATAGGACTCCACGTCGCTGTCCGACACCAGAAGTTGCACCTGAAAGCGGAGACGGAGGACATGTCCTGGTTAGTCTCGAACTGCCTGGTTAATCGAAAGTTCTTCAAAATCATGGGTACATACAAAATCAAAAGTTCGGTCGGTACGGTATGCGGTGTAAGTCCACTTTGTTAGTTGTGTTTTTTTAAACTAGATCATGAGTTCAATTGCGTGAATATACGATTATATTAGTATATATGGTATCGGATTAGTAAGCTCGAATCTCGATTTAAAAAAGAGACAGAGAGTTAGCGCATGCAAACACAAGAGAGAAGATGAGCATTAGATCAATCAGTGAGTTAGTACGAAATTATTCTACTTATTTTAGTATGTCATATTTTGTGGAAGAATGATATTTCTTTGTAAGACCTAAGAGTATCGGTTAACTAGCTTAATAATTAAATGAGCGAGCTTCCATGAATAGCCAAAAAATGTGAGTTATATACGTAAATGAGTAAGATTATTATACCTCTTGATTATTATAACTTGAATTACTATCTAACCAGGGCCACAAATATTTAAAAGCAAGCAGCTTACCTGGCGAAAGGCCTGGAGCACCTCCTGGCGCTGACTGAAGTGCCGGAAGAGAAGGTGCAGGGCACCCGAGACCAAGGGCGCGTAGTCGTGCATGATGAGGTGGAGTAGGACACGCAGAAAAGTACGTCCGCCCTGGCCGTCCAAGTCCAGATTAGCTGCGTCGCTCCGGTCGCAGTCGAAGATTCCCTCCGCCTGCACGCCGATGGACTCCAGATCGATGTTCTTCTGGCGGGCAGCGGTAGCGGCGGCTGCGGCAGCGCCAGCTGCCACGGACTCGGCATTCTCGAGGGTGTCAGTCTCGTTGGCGCTGCCAGGCGTCTGCGGTGCCTGTTGTTGGAACTGCTGCTGACCCGCCTCATTGTTAGCAGCCGAGGCGGCCACCTCGGACTCGTCAAACTCCCGCTTGAATATGGAGAGCAGGCAGCTGATCCTGTAGTCCAGGCGAACGTCCAGAATGAACTGCAGTATCTCAATTATCTTTAGTTTGGTGTCCATCACCAATGGATACTCCTTCATCAACTGGGAGACGGACTTCCGTTGCTGCAGGGAGATCGTGGGCGCAGCTATGGCCTGACCCACCGATCCCAGGGCCAAAGATGTCATAACCGTGTTGATGTCCCCAATCGAGCGTAGAACTCCACCTTCGGCTGCAAGTTATGGGGTTACATATGGAAATGGACATAATAGAAATAAAATTATGTTTTGTCCACATCATCTACAAATATGGTAAGTTTTCATAGGTAATTATTAGTAATTATTAGGCATTATTAGTGGCACCTTAAAACTAGAATATTTCCGATGTACACTGTAAAAACGTTTCGTAAAATACGCCTCATATTAAGGCGTATTAAGGGCCTTTCAAAGAATTTCAGGCAGTACAAAAGTCTTACCCTCTGTGTTATTCTCCTCTTCGACAGCTTGTTAAGAGAAAACTCTAAAGATTTCATATCTTTTAGGAATATACAGGACTTACAATCAATATCCGTGCTGGCAAAGGCACCGGATGAAGTGTCGGACACGCAGTCCAGGATGGACAGAAGCGTCTTGGTGAGTCTGAGAAGATCGCTGAAGCTGTAGAAACCGAAGTAGATCAGATCCCTTGCCAGTTTGACAACCTGAAAATGTAACTTTGGTGCTCAGTTCTAATTGATACTTCTCGCCTGAGGGCAGACTTACCTCGAAGGTGAGTTTGTTTTGCTCTTGGTCTGTGAAGAGCCACACCTTGGTGGCCACATTGCACAAATAGTTCTCCACAAAGGCGATGGTTGTGTTAAACTTGGCCCGACAGGCTTGCTTGTTTTGATCTGGCTGCTGGTTCTTGCCATCATAGCTGGATGAGAAGATAGATAGCACCTCTAGTCAAGCGAACTTCCATTTTCACTTACTCCATTATGGACATCTTTGAGGGTATCTCGCTCCAAAGGCGGGCGTACTTAACAGGTGTCACTGGTTCCTGGGGATCGCGATCCACGTGGAGGTGCAGCATCAATCGGCAGAAGGAAGCTCTCAGCTCGTATGGCATGGTTTCATCCGACATGCATCTGCAAAAAATGTAAGGTTAGTGATACCAGACGCTCCACCTGTTTCCAGATTACTTCAGGATTAAATCAATATCCAGGCGCGGTGACAGCTCATTTAGGGCCAAGTACTGACGGTTGAGGCACATGTTGGAGAATAGATTCAACTGGTGGCGATAGTAGTTCAGAATGGCCGCCTCCAGCTCGCCGCCATCGCAACTGGCCAAATCCGCCATGGACCGGGATGTCTGCAAGGCAACGATTTATATGAGTAATTGAAGGAGTTGGGTAATAACCAACCGGTTGGTTATTTCTATACGCTTTTTGCCTAGCCTGGCATAATGACGCTATATACTCGGATATTAAATTCAACACCCACCGGTTGTCCCGTCCATTTGAGGTGGATTTCGTACTTATCCCCCGCAGATGGGCTGCCATCGTCCTCGTTCAGGCTGGCGGTGTCCCAGGTGGTTGTGGTGGACGTGGACTGCACATCAGAGCGATCCTCGTCGTCGCCGGCCACCTCGGCGAGAGTTGCCAGGCACACGTCCTCGGAGGTGCCTTTGTAGCAGCGCGCTGGGCCGGATCCGCTTCGCAGTGCCTTCACCTGCGTCTCGATCAGTATGTCCTTGTTCTTGTCGCTCAGCACGCTCTTGCAAATCAACTCCTGGGTGACCGCGATGGCTTTGCGATTGGACACGCACAGATCTGAGAGGTAGTCGAGAAACCGCGAGTCCCAGTTGTGCATGTTCTTGCGCACCAGACCTACAAATGTTTCGATTTCTGCGGCTGTTATGTGCTTCTCCAGCAGCTTTCGGTTGTTGTGCAACAGGGCCGTGATAGTGTCCTCTGCCAGAATATCGTATCCGATCTGCTTCTGCATCAGGCCAAAGTGCTTGGCTATGTACTCCTGGTTCTTCCGGTAATCCTGTTGCGACAACCTCAGGATGCGGTAGCACAGACGAAAGATGTTCTTGTAAGGACTGTTCTTCGGATCGCTGAGCTCATCCAACCGAAGGAATGGACCGTCTCCGGCTGTGTGTTCCTGAAAAGGACCCTGTAGGATCTTGAACAACTGCTTAAGGATGTACTGTTCGCGCAGCAGTTTCTGTCGATCCCTGATAGGATTCTTTATGGTGAATTCCAGAGCCTTTGTCTTGTTCTGCTCATTCTCCATTCCTGCTATGAAGTACACTATGTCCTGGAGCAGCGAGATCAGCGCCCGACGCTCGTTGATGGAGATGCTGCCGTTATCCAGCTTGCTGGTCACCGTGGCAAGCACTTTGCACGCGTCGTTGGCAAAGTCCAGGTCGCGAACTTCTACCGGGGAGACGGGTATCAGCGCAAAGGCCTCCTTGTCCTCTTTGATGGGTGAGCAGCAGACCATCGACATCACCGGCTTGTCGTCGTCGGCATCGATGGGTATCGAAGTGGCATGGACCCACGTGTTGGAGCAAATGTGCTGTAGGCGCACATAACTGGACTGTGGGACCAGGCTGTCGGGGCGAGCCATTGTTGTGGCGTCCAGAACAAACACCGAGGCAATATCCGCCGAGTACGGAACGGACACGAGGCGGTATTGCTTTCCCTTGGGTTTGTCTGAAAAGATTGATAACAAATAGGAATAGTTGCACGTTCTTTGAGTTTAAGTTCAATACTGCATACCATTTATGGTGGAGTTCATGGTGGAGCAGCTGAGGCCAGAGTCTTTGCTACAGTCCCCCAAATGCAGCTCGTGTCCTGATGCAGAGGCGGCGGAAATCGCGCCGCCAGACACATCGATTTCCGCCTCGGCCGCCAGATAGTGACCCGTAGCCAGGTGCTTGAAACGGTAGAGCGAGTTCCAGTCGCCGGCGCCGCCGCGGCAGGAGTCGTGCTGAACCACCTCGATCTCCCAGAGTGCCTTGCTGCTGGTGGCAGCCGTGGCGCTGGTGCGTCCGGTGGTGCGCAGAAATACGTGGTACTGCTTCTTGTATTCGTCCATGGTGAGGAACTTCTCCTGCTCGGCGTGAAATAGACGCACCACGTCGCCGCCCTTGAGGATGTGCTCCTGATTCTCCTTGTGCTCCATGAACAGTGAGATCTTCCAGGAGGTTGACGAGTTCAAAACGTTGACCTCCTTGCAGCCGGGATTGTCGGGCAGTTCGTAATTGGCTGCCACATGGAGGTTCTGCTGATCGGCGTTCACCGGACTTAAAATGACCTTGTCACCCACCACCACGTAGTCGCCGATGGAGCGAAGCTTATAGAAGGGCTTGATGTAGAACCATGAGCCCTCGTTCCCGTTGGCGTCCAGATAAACGCGCATGGCATTCTTCTCCAGCAGCGACGGCAGTCGCTTGTTTACTGTCAAATATTTGTTGGATTTCAGATGCAGTAGCTGCACCACAGCCCGTCCATATTGGATTGAGGTTCCCAGCAGCTTCTTGTTCTCCGTCTCGTTTTGTTTCTTCTCAATCTCCGCCGCGTGCTGGGGAACACAATATATATTATTAAACAATTAAATTATATATAATCCTGAGCCTACATGCAAACGCTTGAGGAGATTGGGATCCGTATTGGAGCTGGCAGATTGCTTAGCTGCTTTCCAGAATTGCTTCTGGGCGGAATAGCGGTTCATGGGACATATTTTGATAAGGCAGTCTGAAAATGTATCATAAATATGGCGAATATTAAATCTATTAAATATCGCGACTTACCCCTGAACTTTTTAGGCGGACAGCTGAGGTCTCCGGCCTCGGGACACACCACTGTGCGATCATCGACCAGGCTGGCGAAAGAAATCAGATGTTTAGTGCAGCATTCAACAACAGGTGGCCCCAGGAGATCCTCCACCTCCTGTTCATCCTGGACAATGGTACTTACCCGAGTGTGCTCAAGAAACCGCAAACGCTGCCCTCCGCATAGAGGGACACAATGTCCCCCAAGTGCAAGAAGCTTGCCGAGCCAATTATATTGTCGCCCATGTCTGAAGCCCTCTGTGAGTTGGGGCTCGGGAAGGGAATTGGGTCCAAGTCGAGGGTGCCGTGTGTGTACAGTAGCTGATGCCAGGTGGCGCAACAAAGGGGCTCTCCACGTTCCTGCGCCTGTTGCTGTTTTTATTGCTGTAGCTGTTTCTATTGTTTGGAGGCGCAGTCGGTTACGCGAGTTAATTGCAATGATTTGTAGAACTCGTTAGGTCCTGCAGGGTTTGGCAAAGGAAAAAGCAACGTGAGTTCGCTTACATATCGTGAGAAAACAAAGAACGCTCTTAGGATGGTTATCGTATATGAACGTACGTTATATGTCAGTTGTAGCCTTATACGATGATATCTAATTAAAACAAGAGAGAATGCTATAGTCGAGTTCCCCGACTAGCAGATACCCGTTATTCAGCTAGTGGAAGTTCGAACCAGAAATTTCAACATTATCTGAAATATCGGTAGAAATGGGGGGAAAACAAATAAAATTAAAAAAACTTAAAAATGTTTAAAGCGGTGGCGTATGTTTTTTGGCAAATCTATCAAAAAAATTTAGAAAATTAACAATAGAATGAAAATATTGTAAAACATTTTGACAGCTTTGAGCGGTTTGTGGGAGTTTGACTGGGCGTGCAAACAATTCGATAGAAATTTACAAGACTACAAAAAAATTAAAAAATATTAAAACAATTTTTAAAAGTGTGGCCGTGACAGTATCATTTAACAAACTTTTACTGCTATGTCTCTGAAATCTGCATGCCCAATCTCAACTCTCTAGCTTTTATACTTCCTGAGATCTCGACGTTCATACGGACGGACAGACAGATGGACAGACAGACGGACATGGCCAGTTCGACTCGGCTATTGATCCTGATCAAGAATGTATATACTTTATATTACTTTAGAATATATTACTTTAACGCTTCCTTCTGCCTGTTATATACATTTCATCGAATCTATACCTTTAACTCTACGCGCAACGGGTATAAACATTCCTCCTGGATGTCCGCATTCAACTAAAGTCGGCACTTTTGACGATTTTTGTAGTCGCGGCTTTTATGTGTTCCATTAATATCTAGCCTTAATGGTTGTACGGGGAATGGGAACAACGAATGCGAATGTACTTTGGCATATTGAATGACAATAGGATGAGGAAAATGCTTTCATTGTTTGACAAGTTCCATGGAAGCAAGGCGAACAAGTGTGAGCTAAGATTTTTGTTTGAAGGATTCCAGAGAGTTGTTCAAAGTTCTACGTCAATGCTAGGCTTTTATTTCCCAGTTTCTTGGTTTAAATAAAACTTGTGACAGCATTTCTGCAATTAAGCTTAATATTCGGCTTTTACATTTTTTATTCCGATTATTTAATGGCTAAAGTGTTGTTCGCTTTGGAATTCCTGATTTTATGAAGCAAATAAGTTATTCACAAGAGGCATATTATTTCATGATTGCTTATTTTGAAAATGCATACATATATCAATACGTCGTACATTAACTTTGTAAATATGTTATTCATAAATTGTTGTACTGTTTGTTTTATTTAAAGATGTATCTAAATGCCGATTCAAGTTTATTTATTTGTTTATTTCTGGCGCGCCAAACTTCTTTCCGGCATGTCGCAACGACTCATTTTTATTGTTCCAATATATTTGTTTCTGGCGATTAGATCGGCTTATGGGATACTCCATGAGCATACTAATGAGCAGAACACATGCCTGATAGAAGAACCCATTTGATTGCTGTGGGGTCCCAGCTAATCAGAGTGATTGACATAACAATTACCGAAATTCCGCCCCAAGCTTCAGTTAGGACACCTCGAGCTTATAACCTCGAGAGTTCTTATGAGGAAATGAGAAATTCATAACTTCAACCCATCTGCTCAAATATGATCATCTCGTTAGTAGTGATGGAAGGAAGCAGCTGAGCGAAGGCAGGAAACGAGAACCTCCACCTTCGGCGACAAGGACCATGGAATTCGGATGGAGGGGAGGCAGCTGTGCCACCTCGTCAGCCATTCCAAGCAATTGGTTCCTGGGGCGCGGAGGGCTTCCACATTCTACGGATGACGCCTAAATCTGTTTGCCAACAAAGCAATTACGTTTAATCACAATAAACTTTTGCCTAATCCGTGGCACGCCATCGAGCACCGCTGCTCGGCAATTAAATCGAATTTATTCGAAAATAAATTTGGACAACGAGCGCTTTTATCAAATTAGGCGCTGAAATAACAATAATCCGGCAGTTACCTTAAACAAAATCACACTCAAAATGTGGATACACACACAGGGCCCTGGGTATCTGCGAGGTATTTTGCCTATTTTTCGTTTTCGTTTTCGTTTTATATTTGCGGAAGCTGGCACAGCCAGGTTTCCGTGGACTCTGTTTTTCCAGGTGCACATTTTCATTTTCATCCTCACCAAGTGGCCAAGTGGCCCACAAGCACTTACACTCTCTTTTTAATGTTTGGGCGTTGTGTAAACACAAGGAAACGTGGAACTTTAATAAATAGCGAGCTGGAATGATAAATTGTGGGGATTCTGTGGGCAGCTCTTTGACTTCGATTGCCGCAGCCCGAGAAACGAAAACGGTCTGCGAACCCCGAACGCTGGAGCGAAAATGTTGGCCAAGTTCGCCGCAATGGGACCAAAAAGCTGGCCTGAGCTTGCAGAAGCTTTTCCGCTTTTCCGCTCCCACTTCGAGTGGAATCCGGTCCACTTTCGCTCAACTTTTCTTTTCATTCATGGCTATGGCTTCTCCTCAGGCAAACCCTATGGCAAACCCTTTCCGCGACCATTCGACGGTCGATGCTTTACGCATCAGCGCTGCGAATTAGCTGGGTTAGTAGTGCGGCATTTGATAAGCCCTCCTTTGTGCCTCCACTTGAGTGCATCTGCTTTCCATGGCTTGTGCCTTCTTGGCCTGGGCATGTGCAGCTTTGATTTCCCTCTTTGGGTCAAGGTCGTCGGTGCGGCAGCGAAAGTGGAACCCCTCGACAAGTCATTGTTTGGGTAGCTATGCAAGCATTTCCTAAAATTCCTTTTACCCAGATGAGTTTGGCCTGGCTGTAAAGGATTCGCTCTGGCGAAGATAATGCGTTAGTTAGGAACACAACTTAGAAGCTACCCTGCTAAGTTAGCAGCTGGTTATTATGTTTTCTTCAGAACAAACGCCACTCATGAGCATATCTTGTCCAATTTAGAATGGGAATATCTGCGAAACCCGTCAAAACTGCTGCGTGCAAACAAATGTTCCTAGGACCGACTTCTTAATTTCATGTTAGCTTTCACTGACGGCTAAAACAACTCATAGTTATAATGTAAAATAAAAATATAAATAAATTATAAATATAAATCATAGTTATATCCGTTTCTTAATATATAAATGTATTACACGTCAATCGCAATCCTTTTTATTGGCTATGTGATTGATATTCACGCATATTTCATGATAGCATTTTTCAAATAAGAGTTTTCTGTGCAGCAGTATCAACAACACTTTCTAGCATATTTTAGTTGTAAGCCAATTAGTGTAAGGTGCTTCCATATCTGAATTTTGTGGTGATTAATTGCTCAATGTGTATGTGTTTCTCTTTTTAAATGTTCCTCAGAGTTGAGAAACGCTATGTTTCCTGTTCAAAGGGCAAAGTAAATAAATTCCTTTTGGAATAATGGTATGCAGCAGATCTAAACAAATTTTTTTTTTCTTTTTTTTGTTCTTAAGTGTGTATTAATTTAAAGTAACTGTATTTAATCTTATTCCAGCTGGTCCATTATAATTTTATTGCCAACGGACTGACCTGGCTCACATTCGAAGTCACATTTAATGTCTTACGAGGATTGTTGGCTATCGCTCCGTCAGTTTGGGCGATTTAAGCCATCATTTAACCGAATAACCGACTAGCCGACCAACGGGTGCGTTAACCAGCGGGCGACGGTCAAGCCAAAGGAAAAGCTTTGGGCACAGTCACATGCGTGGGAAAAGCCAAACAACGCGGCAGACAGCCACAAGTGGTTGGCATGCAAACAGATGCAGACGTCGAAGTCGGCGCTGGCAGCGCAGCAGCGGCGCTGCGGGCGGCGGCAGTCAGCTGACCGGAAAAGCGGACGGCGCCAAACAGCTGAGAGGCAAGGGGAGAGAGCCGCTCTCCGGGCACAATTTGTTTACATGCGACTGCGCAGGCGTGGCTCAGCTTTGGGCCAGCTTGGAAAGCTCAGTCGGGGAGCTTAAAGCGCAAAAGTTAAGGGATTTTTGGGGAGCCGAGGCGACTTTTCAGTAGTCGAGCATCACGCAAAGCGCCACGTTGTCCTTCGCAGCAGTGAAAGCGAGCAAGGAAAAGCGGAAAAGCGGAAAGCCAGGCGTCGCGTTGAGCGGGCGTCGAAAAGTAGGCAACACAGCTCTTGCTGCCTGGTGCCACGGTGCGTATGCGATATGTGATGCAGAGGCAGTGAAACCCGATAGGGAAAGCTCAGTCTGGGCGAAAATTGTCAGGGAATCGAAATTGCCAGAAACAACGCTAGTTCTACCCAATTTAAAACAACCGAAAATTGCCAGTGAAAACAGGGAAACAAAGGGATAAAAGTTCGGACCGTGTGCGTGTTATAAAAGTTCCCTCTGTGTGTGTGTCTATGTCTCTGTGTGTGTGCGCGCAAAAAGAATAGAGAAAGCAAAGCATCCCGAAGGAGTGGCACACAAAGTGTTTGCATAACTTAACTCGCCCTAACCACCCATTAATAACTTGATTAAATGCCCCGAAATCTCGACGAAGGCGAGGACTGATGAAATGGATATGCGGAAAGAACATCCACGGTGGTGAAGTAAAGCAATGAGTTTCAGGACATGACCTGAAGTCATAAAAATGACCCCAAATAGTTTTCAGTGTGGCGCCAATTGAGGCGTGGTCGCGCCAATCCATTTTGGCATGGATTCCGTCCAGACAGCACAGTGTATCGTGTGTTCCGTCGTCGTTTGCGTCCTGCTCATCATCACGGGGTTCCTCATTTTCATCCTGAGTTTGTATGCCTTTGCTCCCCTTATGGATAAGGTGCAGCACCGCCTTATAGAGATCAATGTGACCACCACAGAGACCACCATTCAGGATTACGAATATGGTTGAGCTGGAGGAAACACTTTTCTGTACTTGCTCAATTTTTGATTGAAGATTTGTCAAGATATTCTCGCCAATCAGTGACTTTGCTCTCGTTTTAAATATTCTATTTTGCATATAGGTCAATTTGTAAATGAGTTATAAATATAGAAATGCCACCTACTTAATATCTTAGCATACTTGAGTTATGGTTAATATGGTTATTCGTTACCATAAGATAATCTAGTGTAGTAGATACGATATATGCATGTTTAACACAGCTATTTCTTGAACACTTGCTTGCGTATCCTACCAATATAAAAGATATTTGTTAGGATTTCCATGTAATCCTCAATATTTCGCGAATCCTTTGTTCGAGCTACCCAAATTCAAATAGTTTTTCAAGCCAATCGAATTGTTGGCCATTAGGCACCTGACCAACAATGAACTGAAAAGGGAACTTCGTGGTAGTGAGCCACATCAATGTGCAATGCTTGAAATCATGCACAGAAAGGTCCAATCCCGCTTTGCCCCACCGCTCCCCATTTCCGGACTGCCATCTATCCGACGGATTGGGACCCAGTGGAGCAAGGCGGAATACGTACATCTGTTTGGCAATTCGTGTGTGAAAAATGCCCCCGAAAATTGCCTACGTAGAGATGCTGAAAAGTACACAAAATATAAAATGGGAATCGCCCACAATGGGCCACGAATGTCGGAGTTGCCAGGCGGAGGAGGGACATCCTCGACTTGGTTATTGGCTCAGATGGGTTTCCCATTGAATGGGAAAGTGCCAGGACTGGATGGGCATGGGCAGAAGCTAAAGGGATAAAGGTCATAGCAACAGGGCGTGAATGCGAACCAGTCGGGCGAAGGGCCACAGAGTGCGGTTCAAAGTTTCGGTTCAGAGTTTTTATCGAAGCTTTTGTCTGCGCTCGAGTCCTTGGAGAGTTTTTCTGCCTGCCGGATCGCACATAAAACAATTCCCGCCTACGGGGGGCAAATTAAATTATCTTAAATTGGCCAGCGGGAGAAATTACCCGGCCATCCGCCCTGAACTGATCGATATGGTCCCAATTGAGCTCTAACCGCTTTACGGCGGAGTCAAACAATCTGAACCCCTGTTGCTGCTTGGAACCGCTACCTGTGTGTCGCTGTATCCCAAGTTCCAAAACCACTGCAAATATTTCAACGAGGCATCATCAAATGCGAGCCGCCGTCGAGCTGGATGCTCTCATTGCTGTCAGCCTGTCAGCTCGAATTGCACTGAAGCTGGTTCCACCCACTGATCCTATCCGCTCCCCCCACCATCCCTATGCACCAGCGCCACATTTAATGGAGCCCGCAATCGGCAATCCCCGCACACGCTGCACCAACACGAAAATTGAATAAAATGCCGGCCACGGCACGTTCGCTATGTTAAATAGTTGAACAAAACTCACAAGGGAAATTCTCCAATGACTCTGCAGAAGTTGGAATGCCCTTTCAAATCGCAGGGTGTTAGGTTTCTGCACGAAGATTACTTACCCTAACCAACCACAGAACCAGCAGTTGAATGAATTGGAACATATGTCTGGTTATATTGCTAAATATTTCTATTTACATAAGCTCAAAACCTTTCAAAACTGTTATATTCGTTGATTTATAGAGCAAATATTGACCTATATTACAATTTAAACTGCACTCCATAATAAACATACCATAGTCCCACAACTCAAAGTTCATTAACTGCCGTATCAATGGACATGCAAAAATTCGAATGCGAGCAAATCGAGGTGTGAAATGCATAGGAAACCTTGTCGAAAGTATAACCCATGTCAGACGACATATTTACAACGTTTTTTATACGTAGGTGACAGTATATATTAAACGTTTGTTCGATTTCTTTCATTTGGGAATTGTGTTAGCCTCAACAAAACAGGGAGAGTAGCAAATTTCCTTGGGGAAATTCCGTGCGCTGTTCAACCATCTGGATGCTGGTGGCTTTGAAGCTGTGGAGGTCTAATCAACTATTTATGGGGATTAATAGAATATGAGTACTGGCGAACGGGGATGTGCGGGTAAGGTCCTAAAGAGAATCCTTTAAGAATCATTTAACACGAGTAATGAGTAGCAGGGCACATGTGCTGAATGCCCTTTTCAGCAATTTGGCCGAATTCATTCATTTAAGGTCTGGGCCCTGTCTGGTGGCTCAAAGCAATTGAAAAGCTAAGAGAGCTCGGCTTACCTGAGCGGAAAAACGTGCAGCACACAGACACACTGATGAGAGCACTCTGCGCCTCATTCAATCCGCTTCATTGATAACACCCGACCTCCGCATCTGAACACACATACTCTTATTAATTGCAGCCAAGTGGGCTTTGCACATCGGTAGGCGGGGGCTTATATTTTATTTACAGCTCCAGAATGTCGCTTACACAATTTGCCTGTTTATGTTAATTGCTGGCGCCTGGGCCATCGCCGCCCACTTTTCTACCCCTTGCCCACCAGCTGCTCCATTCAGCTGCAAATTATGCTCATGCTCATGCTGGGAATCCTTATGGTGTTTAATTTATCCAATTTAGTTAAGCTATAATTTATAATAGAGAGTTATCAACTTTATATGAATAACAAACATATTCTGTTCATTTTTTAACTCTTCAGATAATGATTGATCTTATCTTAAGTACTTATCGTTATTAAAGAACTAGCTTTAAATATTGAAATATTTCTATTTTCTAGCCTGTTCAACACAGAATGAAATCTCAATTGACTATTTGTTTTTAATAAACGAAACTCACTATCAATTTGTCCCATCAATTTTATAATTTAGTAATTTGTTGAACAATGCATGTGGACATAATTTCTCGTAATTGTCTGGTCATAGGCTCATTAACCCAATCTTGATTCAATGAAAATCAAGAAGTATCCAAGTGCGCCCTTATAATTGCAACAAGTATTGACCAAAGTGCAATTTTGCGTTGAAAGGACGTATTTTTACACCAGATAATTAAATGGAAATCATAGCATGCAGCAAGCTCGGCAAGTCAACATTGCAAAAAAAAAAAATTTTTTTGAAAAAGGAAAATTTGTTTTAAAAGTGTGGGCCGTTGAGAATCAAACTTGCAAATCGTAGGCGTCACTAGAATTTTTACATTCTAGCTTTTATAGTTGATGAAATCTCGGACGGACATGATCAAGAATACATACATATGTACACATATAAGCCATGTAGGGTCGGATCCGTCTTCTTCTACCTTTTACCAAAGACATTAGAATAATTCTACGAGTGAGGGGTAAGACAAGTGAAACCACTAAGAACAAATGCAAATTTAAATGATGACTATATTGCTTAGTCATTGGCTATATATTTCTTAAATACTCCAATTTGAAAAATTGTTGTATAACAGCAAACAACACTAATCACCACAAAACAATTTTTTATGCAAATGGTTTTAGTTGCAATCAAAATTAGACTTTGTGTAATTTTAAGGGATTTTTCTATGAATTTGTGCAGCTTGGCTTGTCAGTTCACTTAAGTACACCGCTTAGTAGTGTAAAGTAAATGTGGAAGTGCGAATCCCATTTTTTTTTTATTTTATTATTTTTTCCCCCAATTTCTACCGATATTCCTGAAAATGAAGAACTTTTTCGTTCGCACTTCCGCTAGCTGAGTAACGGGTATCTGATAGTCGGGCAACTCGACTATAGCATTCCTTCTTGTTTTTAGTTACAATTATCTAAAGCTAAACTCTGTATAGAAATTATATTTATTACTTCATAAGCTTTAGTGTCAAAATCAAATTTAAGGGAAAATAAAGCAATAAAAATATAAAAATAAAAAAAATTAAAAAATAAAGGAATAGAAAAAATACATTTCACTGATGCGACTCAGCTGAACTGCTTTTTAAATCCCATTTTCAAGTTAAGTCATTATCAAAACGACAATTTGTAAGGCAACTTACATTTTTACTGAACTACAACTACAGCACGAGTCTATCGTGTCTATCGTCTATTTTTCTATTCTATCTTTTATCTTTTTGTTTTATATCTTGATCTTTTTGTATTATAATTATTTTTTAATTTTTGGTATACAACAATAAAGATTGATCTATTGTGAAGCATTAGATATTATATTAAACTTCCGACATTCAGAAAATGGATTTTGGACAGAAAATGTGGGCAAATTTTCCCATAGTGCCGTGCTGCAATTGAACCTATGCCCCGATAAGCAGATGTTCAATGGGTCGGATATAAATGTTTTTTCCTTCCATTTTCTTTGCGTGTAAGAAACAAATAGTTTGTCCGCTGCCACTGCAACTTAATTGAATCTCAGCGGAATCGCAGCCCTTTAGCTTTGATTTACTTTCAATTATTCAGCGAAAGCGGAGGCAAGAGCGAAATTGAAATCAAATCGAACCGAAAAGCGAGGGCGTGACTGCTAGATAATAGCTATCGCGGTAATAAGCCTATCGGTTTGGTCACGTTAGGCTTATTGCCTTATGACCTACTTAAATTGGCGGCAAGCCCTTCGGGAAACCAGAAAAACCAGTAACTGTGCTTGATTGGCAACAGGTTACCGTGGTCGTGGGATACTCACCGCAGAATGTGAAAATATCCCTTGTAGAAATGTGCCACTGTATTTAGATACATAGGTATTGAATCATCCGCCGATAGATGACGATCGTAAATCGAATTTGACTTTAAATTTATTTTATTCAAATGCAAACACTCGTGGGCACTCGAAAGAACTTAATATATTTTCACCTTGAGTGCGCGCACTTAGCCGCGGAAAAGAGAGAATAACAATAAGTGGGAATACGGCGAGGAATACACAATAACAATAACAATAACAATGCCGGGGCAGCGACGTCGGCAGAGGCAGCGACGCGAGCAGAGGCGGTTTTGTCAATACGAAGGAGCAGTTAAAACACGCGACAAACAATTCCGGCTGCTAGACAGAGAGGCCATCATGCGAAATAACGTCAACAATCGGCCCTCCCGGCCCCGCGATCCCGTCAACCACACGCAAGCAGCGCAGTCGCAGCGCAGCGCAGCAGCAGCAGCAAAAGCAACCACAACGATTGTCGATTTCTACGCACTTTTCCAGGCACTTTTCACACTCACGCATACACCCACACCCACACAGGCCCGTGGCGTTCAGGCGAACAAATTGGCCAGCATTTCGGGCATAAATTACCCGCTCGAAGTGTACGAAAATGCAATTTTCCAGGGAGCCGCGTCATGCGCGACGTCGTGTGCCGTACCGCTCAGCTCCTCCGTCTCCCTCACTCCAACGAAGTGCCAGCGCAGCGCAGATAAGGCGGACCGACACGTAAAGACCCCAGCGAAAATACGTCCGACTGAACGCGCGGTCGAGCAACAAGTGTTCGAAAGCCGCATGACCATATGATCGATTAGTGCGACCGCGCGAAAAATACTGCCGTTAATATGAATTAATAGGGATTGGAGTTCTTTTTCAAAGATATTGCAATATTGCTTATAATTCGTCAATTGCTCTAATACCGCGTTATAAATTTGCTAGAAGTGCGGGAAAAAAATGCTAACACACAAAACACTAAATACTAACATCTTACCGTTAGCTTAGCAGCAACGAGCTTGCTATTTGAATCGAAGTATTAATTACTAATTAATTGTTGACCATCCTACCTGTCGCCTGTAGTTTGAAATACATTATATCAATTTTACTGACTAAAATTGCATATCAATTTGATGAAGCGAGTGCGGTTAAGCTCCCTCATTCAACCACTCGCATACTAAAATGTTGCTTCCAAGCTAAAAAAATACTTGTTTTAATGATGAATGGTCACCCCAACGATCGTGCTGTTAATACTCAATTTTGCGCGATCTGGCAGCACCGCAGTCTTCATAACATACCGCGCACTTAAAGTTAAGCACTAAATAAAATGCGGAAAATCAAAATCGGCTTAGGGTAACTTTAAGATTGGTCTTTGAGCAAAGGCCTTGCTTGGGCAGAAGATAATAACATTAATATTGCCATTTCCCCTTTTCTACTTGCAGAAAATGCTGGATGTTTGCTCGAGAAACCATTGAAATCGTCTTACAATACACCTCGCTTATCCTCGCCCAAAAAGTATAGACTTCCGCAGAATGGCTGTCGCTGAGTTTGTTTTTTGTTGGCCATTGTTTGAGCTCGCCATTGTTCTCCTGGTGGCGCCAATTCATGCCGCCCAGAGGCACACTGCCTCGGATAATCCCTCGACGTACAACATTGGCGGCGTACTGAGCAATTCCGACAGCGAGGAGCACTTCAGCACCACAATAAAGGCAAGCCCATTGACTAACTGGATTCTTCCAATATTTAAATGCGATAATCACTATTTCCAATCAAACCCCAGCACCTCAACTTCGATCAGCAGTATGTGCCGCGCAAGGTCACCTACTACGATAAGACCATCCGCATGGACAAGAATCCCATCAAGACGGTCTTTAATGTGTGCGACAAGCTCATCGAGAATCGGGTAAGTCGGTGGCCAAATGCAATTACCTGCTCATATCCGCTTCTCCATCCCTGTGCTACATGTTTAACCCGACCTGGTTCGATTCATTTCCATAATTCAAGGGGAAATCACTCGGAAATGGGTTGATGACGAACGGTAATAGGCCAGCAGATTCCAATATCCATAAGCTAACCAACTGGAACTCCTAAGGCGAAAGAATGCTTAAATCTGCCAATTGAAATATAAATAGCTCGCCTTGTGTTCAGTGTTCAGTGTTCAGCTATTAGCAAGCTCAGATTTATAGAGTCTTAACATTTCCAAAGGTTTATTTCCTTAAATTTATCATTGATGGTCTTATATTAAGCTTAGTGATTAATGATATTGTTTAATATTTATGTAGGAAAGTATTTACAGTATTTGCTGTTCAATTCTTTTAAGTAATATCAATGAATTAGTTTGATAACTTACAGGCTCCTGGGTAAAAATGTCAAGAACTATTCAAAGGAAATATGTTTTAATCGCACTGCACTGTGCTTTCAATGGAATCAACACCCAGGCCTTCCATCAAACTGTATTCTCGTTCAATTAATTATTCCTGTCATGCACAGAAAGTGTCCAAATATTCCTAATGACGAAGAGCATTTTAGCGTGAGACTTCGTCACTAAAGCTGAAACTTTTTTCAGCCAATTTCCGCCAAACTAGTTGGCCAGCCTTTTTGGTTATCTTTGGATTCCTTGCATCACATTTCCAATTTCTTGCCACATTTATCATGAGCGTCTGTCTCTGTGGGAGGCCATCCTAAGCAGAAGCCCACGCCCACTGGGCCAGGTCCAAATCAATGAGATGCCTGTTTCGGGGCGTCATCGTTTGTCATCATTAATGTAAGGGTGAATTTATCATGTCAGGTCACAAAATGCGCGTCCATTGCCAACCTTTCATTACCCAAAGTAAACAAATGAACTGTCATTGACCCCTTTGAATGGTGGATCTGAAAGGTGCGTTTCGAAACTGTAGGATTCGGAAATTAATTTGCATTTTATAGAAATTTGTATGGAGTCAGTCAACTATTATCTTTCTATGCTGATTCGCAGTCCACTCCTTCATTGTTTTTATTCATGTTTATATTCTTGACATTTTGCCATCGAAACGCATCTTATTTTGCTTCGGCATTTGAACGCCCTCTCGGCGCCATTTGCACTTCCGATTCCCATCCACCCATCGCCAGTAGTTCTCCCCTTTGCATCCGCCCTTCATGGCTTATTTCCACTGATTTGGTGCTCCGTCGCCCGTCTTCCGATCCCCGGCACCCACTTCTTTCCATCCGCAGGTGTACGCCGTAGTCGTTTCGCATGAGCAAACCTCAGGTGATTTGTCGCCGGCGGCTGTGAGTTATACAAGCGGATTCTATTCAATTCCCGTCATTGGCATCTCCTCGCGGGACGCAGCCTTCTCCGACAAGAACATCCACGTCTCCTTCCTGCGGACGGTGCCCCCTTATTACCACCAGGCGGACGTCTGGCTGGAGATGCTCAGCCACTTTGCCTACACGAAGGTACGTTCCAGGGTCAGCCATCTGGCATCTGCCGCCCGGACTGCTGCTCCCAAATTTGACTTATTGACTTAGTGAGTTGTTCCGTTATCTGCTCCGCTGGCGACAGGTAATCATCATCCACAGCTCCGACACGGATGGGCGGGCCATCCTGGGTCGGTTCCAGACCACATCTCAGACCTACTACGACGACGTGGATGTGCGTGCCACCGTAGAGCTGATTGTCGAGTTCGAGCCCAAGCTGGAGAGCTTCACCGAACACCTAATCGACATGAAGACCGCCCAGTCCAGGGTCTACCTCATGTACGCCAGGTGAGTTCCTCCAATGGGTTCGTAATTAGGCCGGTTGGGTGAATATCCGCCACGGATAGTGACGTTTGGAAATGGTGTTAATAATTTACCACTGCTATCGCTAAACAATGAAATAATCAAATATCATCCCGTTAGATTTTGTTGCCATTCACCCAAGGTAACCAAGAAGCGATTCTGAATTAACTCAAAAACATGTGTTAAAGCTTTCGAATTGTTAGAGTCCTAAACTATTTAGTTTCGTGTCAAAGGTATCTCTTAATATTTGCTGGGAATTATATGTAAGACCTGCCAGTTAAGTATTGCAGCTTCTTGGTGCATTTCCTACTTCGGATGACTGTTTAATTTGAATTCTGAAGCCCGTCAGTCAATTGTTGTCAATTTACAATAAAGTGATTTTATGTTGTGCTCCGTAAATTAATGTCAATGGAAAAGCGGCGTACAAAAGATTATTGAGATTGAGTTCCAGCATGGGAATTCAGAAACTGGAAAATGGAGGCAACGATGTTCTAGCTATTTACATATTTGTATTATTACTATAATCAAGTGAGTTTTATGGTCACTATCTATATAACTATAACTATTTTCAACACCACAATATAAGGTTCGGTGGTTAATTGGTGCAGCTTGTGATTTCCGGTGGATAAAATTGGTTTTTCAAATACGTAACCCGGAACATAGTTAGGGAATACCTTTAGTGAGTGGCTAGAATCTATGAAATATGAGACATTGAAAGAAAGAGATGTTTCCTGCTCTGTAGTGCAGGATACAAATTATGAAAGTAGCTTAAATATTAAATGGCAATTGTGATCTACTGAAATTCCCCGAGCCCAGACATCTGGAATTTCGACAGTATAATAACTATGCTGGCTTTTTGCGTATTTCACGTTCATCCGCAGCACGGAGGACGCCCAAGTAATCTTCCGCGATGCCGGGGAGTACAACATGACCGGGGAGGGTCACGTGTGGATTGTGACGGAGCAGGCGCTGTTCTCCAACAACACTCCGGATGGAGTTCTGGGTCTCCAGTTGGAACACGCGCACAGTGACAAGGGGCACATCAGGGTAAGCACATCTACTCCTGAGATCCTGAGTATGCAAGCTGATATTCCTTGGCAACCAACAGGACAGCGTTTACGTTTTGGCATCGGCCATCAAGGAGATGATATCCAACGAGACCATTGCTGAGGCTCCTAAGGATTGCGGCGATTCGGCTGTTAACTGGGAATCAGGTACGTAATCTTTATAATACTTTGATATGGTCATGGTGTCTTAAAATTGATATCATTCCTAACAGGCAAGCGACTGTTTCAATACCTCAAAAGCCGCAATATCACCGGGGAAACGGGTCAGGTGGCCTTCGATGACAATGGTGATCGGATCTACGCCGGCTATGATGTGATCAACATTCGGGAGCAGCAGAAGAAGCACGTGGTTGGAAAGTTCAGTTACGACAGCGTAGGTTACTTCTTCTATTTTCGAAGTTATCAAAGTCTGATCCCTCTCAAACAACTAACAGATGCGGGCCAAGATGCGGATGAGGATCAACGACAGCGAGATCATTTGGCCGGGAAAGCAGCGCCGGAAGCCAGAGGGCATCATGATTCCCACCCACCTGAAGCTGCTGACCATCGAGGAGAAGCCCTTTGTCTACGTGCGGCGCATGGGCGACGATGAGTTCCGCTGTGAGCCGGATGAGCGTCCATGTCCGCTGTTCAACAACTCGGATGCCACAGGTTGGTGCTTCAATACTATATTAATACTTGTTACCTGCTTGCTTGTTGAGTATCAGTTGCTTAAGTTAACCTTTCCGCCGACAGCCAACGAGTTCTGCTGCCGCGGCTACTGCATCGACCTGCTGATCGAGCTGTCCAAGCGGATCAACTTCACCTACGACCTGGCCCTCTCGCCGGATGGGCAGTTTGGACACTACATCCTGCGGAACAGCACGGGAGCGATGACGCTGCGCAAGGAGTGGACGGGCCTCATCGGGGAGCTGGTCAACGAACGTGCCGAGTAAGCGATGCGGGATCCGCCAGCAAGCGCCTTCTACTAATCCGGACTACTAATCCATTTAGCATGATCGTGGCACCACTAACCATCAATCCGGAGCGTGCCGAGTACATTGAATTCTCGAAGCCATTCAAATACCAAGGCATTACAATACTCGAGAAGAAACCGTCACGATCGAGTACTCTCGTGTCTTTCTTGCAGCCGTTTAGTAACACGCTATGGATCTTGGTAATGGTGTCGGTCCATGTTGT